GCTGTACTTGTGCAATTGGTTTTTCTTGCCTAAATGTAGAACCTTGCTTTTTTCACCATTGAATTTCATTTTGTTAGATAGTGCCCAGTGTTCAAGTCTGTCCAGATCCTTCTGTATCTTAAGCCTGTCTTCTGGAGTGTTGGCTATTCCTGCCAGCTTGGTGTCGTCTGCAAATTTGATGAGTTCCCCATCTATCCCCCATCCAAATCATTGATGAAGATGTTGAAGAGCACTGGGCCCAGAACAGAGCCTTGGGGCACCCCACTACACACTTCTTGCACACTTACTGCACTTACTGGTGCAGTAAGTTCTATAAATCAGGGGTCTCTCCCCCGGTCTCTGGGCCAGTACCAGGCTGCGGCATGTCAGCAACCGGTCCACACAAACAAGGAAAGCCCCATCCACAGAATGCAGGCAGCACACAAAACCATGCCCCCTCCGGTCCGCGGAAAAACTTCTCTCCACGTAACTGGTCCCTGGTGACCCAAAGGTTGGGGACCTCTGCTGTAAATCACTGAATAAAAACAGTCTTGGATGGACTTCCATCTCAGCCTAAAGAGAGTGTCACTATATTCTATTCTTTCAGGGATATTCTTTATGGAATTGAATTCTTAGATCAGATATGAAGGCCGGAAATCTTTCAGAAGTAGCTGTAGTTCCTGTAGAGAAGAATTCGGGTAGATCAACAATGTCTAGAAAGTGGACATGTTCTATTTTGGTACTGTTTTTCAAATCATGTTCCAGTCTATATACAGGATGTTTTACACAGAGCTCTTTTCACAATGTTTTTTTTAAGCCCCAACTTGAAAAATATTTTCCCAATTCATTAAAACTTCCCTGGAGGTATAATACTTGGATTATTTGCCCTCCAAATGTAATAGACTCAATATGCAAAGACTAGGCTATTGAGGTATGCAGATGTTCCAGTTCAACAGCTATAATGGCTACTCCATTGGAAAAGGGCAGGATAGTCCATAGAGTAAGCATTTTACATAACTGAGAAACTGCTTTAATATTTCTCATATAGAATTACTTTAAGCACTGTTTATAATTCAAAGGAACAAAACTGCTGAAATAAAATGAAATGCTCTTCTTTCTATTCTCTGTAGTCAGTAATATTTGAATTATTCCACATAAGGCAGCATATATTTATTTATGTTATCACAAGTACTGTGATAGCTTTCACACTAGAATATTTATTTTATGTTATCTCGTATACCTTGTGATAGAGAGTTCATTGGATTATAGCTAAGATAATAGGTATATCTAATATAACTATGTATTAATAATTTATTTTACTTAAAAAAATTATAAAACCACCCAATTCATACTTTACGACTCTGGGCAGTGTGCATCAATACTTTTAAAATGTTTTAAGAAATTGCAAGTTTAAAGCATTCCCTTTTCAGTGTGCCCCTAGAATGATACATATTACACCTCTTTTCTGCCAGCATTGGTTATGAGTTTGCTTCGGGATCCAATTCAAGGTACTAATTTTGACCTTTAAAGGTGTTAGTTTTGACTTTCATGGCATGAGACTAGGTTATTTGAGGGATAGCCTCTGCCTGATTACATCTGCTGCCCCATCAGGTCTGGCAAAAAAGGCATGTTGTAAGTCTCATCTTCTAGGGAATCACATTTGGTGATCCCAGGAGGCAGGTTTTCTCTGCTGCGGTGCCCACCTTATGGAATCTTCCCCCTCCCCAAGTGAGGTTAGCTCCTTCCCTTTCAACATATTACAAGCCTCAAGACCTGGCTATGCTATCAGGCTTGGAGGTCCCAGGAACCAGGAAGATTTTGCAATGACTCCCTTATGCATTTGCAGTGTTGCAAAAAATCTATAGGAGCTGATGAAGTGGTGGAGTCAAAGATGCAACACCTATTCCATGTTGCTGTTAATTTTTTTGTGGGAAATATTATAGGAGATGACCAGGCTGAGCCAGTGGGTGGGGTCAAATGCACCATCAGTCTGGAGCAAAAGAGAAGTATGTCCAGCCCAGCTTGAAGCCTGTTGACTTTACCTTGACCATTAGTAGATCAGATTCTTGTGTATAGGTAGAGTGAAATAAATTTGTAGTTCTTTTGAACCCTATCCTGATTTCTTAAACCTGACAAATATTTGAAGACAAACACTAGAACAGACATGTCAAACTCGCGACGTCACGTGACGTCGCACAACGTATCGGAGTTTTTTCGCCGTTGCCAGCAATGGGGTGGGCACGGCTCCAGTACGATGAAACCGGCCCACGGACCGGCAGTTTGACACCCCTGCGCTAGAAGCTTCTTTTTTGGCAGACACTAAAACTGACTTCACTTTCACTTTTTCACACCTCTTTCCTAGTTTGCAACTATAATACTTAATATCCCAGAATACCATGTGTTGTTTGTGTTTGTTCCTGTAGGTTGTTTCTCTGTTCTCGTGACAGTGCCAGATACTGAGCGATACACAACTTTATTTGCTTCTGTGACCCTCCGATGTGACTATAGTACTTCAGCACCACTACAGGATGTAGTTGTTACCTGGCGCTATAAATCGTTTTGCAAAGATCCCATTCTTGATTACTATACTGTTGGTGAGTACTTCTGCTAAGGATCAGCCAAGGATTACTATCTACAAAAGTAGCATAATATAAGGAAGGAAATTGATTTTTTTCCCCATGCACAAAATCTTCAAATACTTTCCCTGGAATATACTATGGCTGATGCATCAACAAACTGCTCAAAGAAAAAGATCTGACCTCAAAAATGAGGAAGGAACATTAAAAAGAAATGACAGAATTTGTAATGCCTATATTGAATCAACCATTTACTAGGCTGCTTAGTTGTATATAATACTACAACAGAGTAAATAAAACATGCATGACAAATTAGATGCAACATTTCAAAGAAATAGCCCCAATGCAGCGGTGGGAAGAATTAGAATACATCTATAAAACTTACTCCAAACTATGGTTTCAGAGAGAACTGGTATAAAATTTTTACAGGTAGTAGTCAACTTTGTCAATAATTTACAAAATAGAGAACATAGTAATAAATGTTGAACATTCTATGAAACAGAAGAAGCAGTCTACTGTATGTATGGGATATGTAGACATCCCCTAAGTATTGGAAAAAATTCTCTGTTCAGAGAATTTTAGGGATCACATTCAAAATGGAACTGCATTTTTATTAGCTATAATCATAGAAAACATCAATAAAAACAACATTAAGATACATGCTTACAGCTGTAAGGACAAACACTGGAAGAAAAACTGGCAATATCAGATTAGGAACTTAATTTTGGGGAATATCAACAAGATGAAAATAACAATAAATATACATAACAAAAGCTTAACTAAATTTAAGCAAGAATAAATTCCACATATTAGCATGGTAAATACAGTTAGAGCAGTGGTTCTCAACCTTTTTAATGCCGCGACCCCCAACCGGTCATAAGTCGAGGACTAAACTGGTCATAAGTCGAGGACTAAACCAGTCGTAAGTCGAGGACTACCCAACCGGTCATAAGTCGAGGACTTTCCCTGCCCGGGAGCACCGCGCATGCGTGGTTCTGCCCCCTGCGCCGGCCGAGGCGTAGCTGGCAAGCGGCAGAGATGGAGCAGGCCGACCACCAGCTGGCCCAGCTCAAGGGAGGTAAAGGGGAAAAAAAATAGCGGACAGCCTTGCTTGGCGACCCCCGTGAAATGGTCGATCGACCCCAAATGGGGTCCCGACCCATAGGTTGAGAACCACTGAGTTAGAGTATGGTTTCTAATGCCAACAATTACTGTAAATCAGCTGAGGTACAAAGGGGAAGGTCAGAAATTAACTATTTACCTATATTAATTTAAGAGTGGTTTATTCTCTTTTTTGACATTTATGTACAATATAGTGCGAATTTTGGTATTAAGCTCAAAAATTTATACTACTTTTTATATCATAAAAACAATGTAATACACCCTGCTTGTATCTTTTATTAATTGAACTTCAGTAATTATCTCTTTATTCATAGATGATTTTTTTGGGAAAACGCATCTTTATTTTGAATAAAATAATAAGCACAGAGTACTGTTGATACACATTTTAAAATGAGGAAATGAATATATACTTGTATATGCTGTATTATTGCTAAATAAAGTTTTAGCTGTTAAAAAAAATAGCCACTTCCCTGGATTGTGGTTCAGAAGTCCACCTTTTGTGTGTAGCTAGGTTTTGGTAATATAAGCCAGATTGCTTGTCTCCAGAATGAGATTTTGAATGAGGAAAGCTTTATTATAAGCCAACCTGATGTTAAGCAGCAACAGCCTAAAGCCACCGTTGCCAAGAATCTAATGACTGTTCCTTGGAGTTGAGAATAGGAGCAATCTATGCACTCTTCCTCCTTGTCTCCTACTATATCTTGGTCTGCCTTCCATATCCAGATTGCTACAGTACTCAGCAAATCACTCCCCCTCCAAACTCTGTCAACTCACATACAAGATAGAAGATCCCATCTGCCATCTCTATTCAAAGTGTCCAAGTCAGAATTAGGAGAACTATACAAATAATGAATTAAATTAAAATGAAACTCATTGTTTATTATTACATAGAATTGTTATGGTCATTGTTTATTTCTGTTAAAAAGCCTCCTAGGTCCATCATTTTCCATTCCCATTTATTGACAGATCCCAAGAGCTTAGCCTATATTCAGTTATTGGCGTGGTTGACATAATATACTGTTCTAAAATGTATTTGCTTGTTTGCAGTTTTATGTGATCTGTGAACTCATCAATTGTTTGTTTAGTAAGACATGCTTCAAATGTATGGCTTATACAGTATAACACAGCGGTTCTCAACCTATGGGTCGCGACCCCATTTGGGGTCGATCGACCATTTCACGGGGGTTGCCAAGCAAGGCTGTCCACCATTTTTTTCCCCTTTTCCGGCAGGTGCCTTACCTCCCTTGAGCTGGGCCAGCTGGTGGTCGGCCTGCTCCATCTCTGCCACTTGCCAGCTACGCCTCGGCCGGCGCAGGGGGCAGAACCACGCATGCGCGGCGCTCCCGGGCAGGGAAAGTCCTCGACTTACGACCGGTTGGGTAGTCCTCGACTTACGACCGGTTTAGTCCTTGACTTACGACCGGTTTAGTCCTCGACTTACGACCGGTTGGGGTCGCGACATTAAAAAGGTTGAGAACCACTGGTATAACACAAGAGACTTATTTTGTTACAGGTTTGCCAGCTCTTGTTCCTTTTTTGCCTACCAATGAATTTGGCACACCAGTTGCTTACATCTGCTTATTTCAGTTGTCTTGTGCCTTTTTTTCCCACCAAAGGGGATATAGTTAGGATTACCAATCATTGGTTATCTGTTTTCTTTAAAAAAATATATATGTAGCTATACCATCATCACAACAAGGATATTGTGCCAATTGCTTCTGCAATGAGCAAAAATGTTTTTGTAAGTAAGAAGGTTTTTGGAAGTGAGATTATAATGCTAATGTAATCACAAAAGGAACAAGAGGCAGTTTGTTGTCTTTTCTAAATCTGTTGTAAATATTGGAATTTGCCGCAATCAACCTAAAAATCAAAACTAAAAAACCCCTAAAGAACATAAAGAACTTCTTCAAGAGGCTTTGTTACTTAATACAATCCTATCTTTTCTACTGCTTCCACTATTAAAGGAAATTATACAAAAGTATAAGGAAAGGGGGAAGTTTGTTTCCAAACAGTATAAATAATTTGACATTTTATTTGCAGCCTATCAGGCATACCTAGATCTTGGCCAGGATCCTTCCAATGACTGCAATGACAACCAGCGGGAAGTGCGCATTGTTGCTCAGAAAAGAGGACAGAATGAACCAGTGTTGGGTGTGGATTACAGGCAGCGAAAGATCACAATTCAGAATAGTAAGTGATCTTTTGATATATTAGCAGTCTCAAAAATCCCTTCCAAAAATTAGTCTAACAAATTATGTATTATGTAGTATAGTATGCTTTTGGTACTCCTTTCTAATGCTTTATGCAATCCTCATTTAATTCTGTCATCATACCAGGATATATAGGAATATTTGAATTATTAATATAATTTGAAGGGCATCAGATTAAAATAAGATGTTTAAATGATTGTTACTAGTAAGAATGATAGTTACTGGTAAGTATTTACCAGATCAGTATTTATGCAGCTTCTAATTATTCAGCACTATTTTATGTCCATTGTACAATAAATTTTCCTCAGGATTCTTTTCTTTGTCTGCATTAATTCAGATTCGCACAGTATAAAATAAGCCTCCAATTGCATTGATTCTTACCATGCCTGAGCATTGCTCAAGATTATAGTTGCTGACTTGTTATTGCTGAAAATATTTATTCAGAAATTCAGGTCATTGTCAGAAACTAACACTGGTAGGGTTTCATTATGTTGTTTTCCATTTTATACAGGAGCAGATCTTTTAATTAATGAGGTTATGTGGTGGGACCATGGAGTCTATTATTGTACTGTTGAAGCTCCAGGAGACACAACTGGTGATCCAGACAAAGAAATCAAGCTCATTGTTTTGAGTATGTAACATCATTTTTTCGGGTCAAATTTTAGGATAATTTTCTTTTTCTGTACCTACCATGCTGTTTTTGAATAAATAATGGAAATAATGCAAGAATTGTACACTGATTGTCAAGTTGCATACTATTAAGTTCAGCTAGAAATTCCTGGTGAACAAAGTTGGATTGCAGCATTCAATTAACTGTGGATGTGTTAAACTATTGATATGTTTTTAAAAATCCCATCTCATCTATATGGTGGTATCTTCTTCACTCTTAGGTTCTCTATCAGAGGCCTGGGAGTTTGAGGGTTCTTAGTTGTTCCTAGCACTCCACTTTTCTGGAGATGATGTTGTTTCTGGGATCTGTTCAAGCTATTCTCCCAGCCTAGGAGTCACAGCTCCAAGAGCTCCGTGAACTTCTGGGATCACTTTTGCCTTTACTTTCCATATTGTACTTTTCCAGCTTCTCATACTATTTCCTGATGTTGCTAAATCACTTGGCACTGCTACATGTATCACCACTGCTGTCTTTTGGTCTTTGTCTGCTATCATAGTGTCTGGTTGATTGGTCAGTACCATGGTTGGTATTGACCAATAGTCCACAGGATCTTAACCCACAACCTTCTATGGAATCTCACATCTGAACTTGGGATATTCTAGCACATAGATGTGCAGATGTTCCTATATATAATACCAACTACTTGGTTGTGCCATTCAGTGTATGCTGTTCCTGCCTGCATCTTACACCCTGGCACTGTGTGTTGGACTATCTCTGGGCCTGTATGGACATTCTGCCTCTTGGGTCCTATCTAGTGTGGAAGACCCCTGCTTCTACAGATCTGATGCTTAGTGCCTGTTCTTGAGTTGCTATGATCAGTGCCATCTTTTAGTCCAGCCACTGGTAGGATTTCCTAATGTCAATCATCTCAGCTATCTGTCAGTGATACATCCCATGCAGGGTCTTGCCCTGCAGTGGCACTTCCTTTGCTTGATCTTCCTCCCATGTCTGGTACTGCTTCAGGCACTTTTTCAGCAGCTCATCTTTGGATGCTGTCTTATTAATGTACTCCTGGATGCTCAGAGGTCTGCAGTTATTTTAAGTTTCTAATGTTTCCTTCTCTGGTTGGCCTTAGCTCATGTGGTATTAACTGCTACTGCATTCCTTCAAGGTCATCTATATGATTCTGTATACCTGTCCATGATTTCAGCCTTTTTTTAGTGGATTAATGCAAATGTATATTGCTATTTGGATACTTTGGGACAATGTCATCTGACTCGTCTATGATCATTGCTTCTAACAATTCTAACAAGATATTACAATAGAAAATATAATGAAATATCTAATTAATCCTGGAAGGGAATGTTTTAAAGTCATATTAGTTGTGGAAAATTATCATAATAAATAATGATTCAGGATATTTTCATGGAACCTTAGGTGGACACCTTCAGATTTGGTTTATCAAGCTTGCTAATTTTATCAATACTAAACTGTGTATAATTGAAGAAGAAAGGAATAGATTGCATTTTTTTTTCTTACAACCACATGGAAAGTTGTGAACGAACTAAGATTTGAATCATTCTGTCTGAATTTAAGCACTTGATATGAAAGATAACATCAGGAAAAATTGGGAACATTTTATCTCAGTCTGCAAGATGAGTCTGCAGGTACCTAGGAACGGAGAAAGCAACAAATACGGAATAACCAATTTTTTTGGGGGGGGGGCTCTTTACTTGATGCAGATTGGTTGACAGTAATCTTCATCCTCCTGGGTGCCTTCCTCCTCTTCATGCTAATTGGAATATGCTGGTGTCAGTGCTGCCCTCAGTATTGCTGCTGCCATGTGCGCTGTGCCTGCTGCCCAACCCGTTGCTGCTGCAATGAAAAAGGTAATCCAGAATCCTTAAAACATAATGCACAGAAGAGGCATGCTTAAATGTAGGTTGCTTCCATGTGTACTTCAGTGACTTCGGGAAGTCAGAACCAAAAGAAATACAACTCAGTCATGCCCAGAAGGTACATTGTTCCAGATTTAGTGTCCCTCCTGTTTCATTTGTCCAGTTGTTTTCTATTTAAAAAAAAATATTTAGAACACACTTAGGTATTTTTTTTAAAAAAAGTATCCCACATAAAAATACCGGTAGCAATAAACTTCATATAATTAAAGTTCAGTCAGTGCAGAAAAAACTTTCATTTCTGTGTCCACCAGTCTAATTCAGGCAGCAATATGAGGAGGACTTTTGCAGATTTTAAAGTATAGAGTAGCATGAAGGGAATTTTAGAACATGATCCCCAGACCTTGCACCCATGTTTTGTTTGCCATTCCCTTTCTCCACATATTTATGCCATTTGTAGATCACATCAAAGCTGTTGTCTGCTGTGAGGCAGCTTTTTGAATTAATGGTCTGCTTTTTTAAAAAACAACAACGCTTGAGCGTTTGTAGTATTGACATAAAAGAAATGCAGCAGGGCTCCCATGTGGTGTGGACACTAAGGACCTCAGAAGAAATGGTTACCAATGCTTCAGAAATTCTGTAACACTTCCTTCAGTCCTTAAATATATAGAACAGCTTTCTTCAACCTTTCTGCCTTGGAGGAATCCTTGAAATAATTTTCAGGCCTCAGGAAACATCCCTCCAAAAGTTGCAAAAAACTGGATGACTTCACAATATAATTTCATTTCTACACAATCCATGTTTTACATTGCTTGCAATGACAACAAAGTGGAACACAGTGGCTGAATTGCAGTATGTAAAAAACCTCACCTCTGCGAGTACTAGCATTGTGTACTACAAAGTTCAAAAAATGATTTTTTGTGGGAGGAGATTTCATAGTTTTTCCTAGGACCCCCACCAACCTGTAATAGACTGTATTTTCTATAGTTACTGCCATGTAATTGAGGCCTAATCATAATATCTTTGTTCCTTCAATTAGGTACATTCCTGTGAAAAGGAATGTAAGGGGGTTTGGCTGGAATGCAAAAGTTGAAAGACCTGTCACCTTCATATTGATAAAATGAACATTTTATCATTGATCTTAAATGTATCTTAAATCTGCAGGTAATCCTTGACTTAAACATTTCAATTGCGCTCAAAATTTTCATTGCTAAGCAAGACAGTTAAGTGAATTGCATCCCATTTTATGACCTTTTTTCTAGTTGCTAAGCAAATCAGTGCAATTGTTAAGTGAATCATGTGGTTGTTAAGCGAATCTGTCTTCCCCCTTTAACTTTGCTTGTTGGAAGCCAGCCGGGAAGGTTACAAATGGTGATCACATGACTTCAGGACTATCATAAAAACATGCCAGTTGCCAAGCACCCAAATTTTGATCATGTGACCATAGGGATGGTACAATGGTTGTAAGTGTGAAAACAGGTTATAAGTCACTTTTTTCAGTGCCATTGTAACTTTGAATGGCTGTAAGTCAAGGACTACCTTTACTTTAAAATAAGTGAGAAGGAACCTGATAATCATCCTTGAAGTGCAATGATTTTTTAATGTAACTCTGAAAAATACAAAGCAATTCTATCAACTTGGCAGTTCTGTGAGGGGCATTTAAATGTAGTTCAGGTATAATATCAATTTTTTTTTCTATTCTCTAGTCATGGAACGGCACCACTTCGTGAAACAAGCTCAACAACTTCTTCCATGGATGACACACCACTCTCAGTCATCTTCATACCAATTAAACCCACTTTTGCAGAGAGGTAGAGCCCCAAGGGATGTTGTTCCTTTGTTGAAACATTTGGTTTTTTACTTGATTTAGAGTGTTTCCTCTATGACATTATACGTAAATGCTTCTTTTCCCAGAGGCACAAGAGCACAGTGATGGAGAATTTAAGGGCAGTTGAGGGATATTTTTTTTTATCATTTGAAGCTATTTGTCCATGGAGATCAGATAATATTAAATATTCAGTTTACTATCTGGGATTATTTGTCTTGAGTATTGGCTTTCTTTTTCGTGAACTAAATTTCTAGCTTTTATACGATTACACTTGAATATAACCAGAACTTATCCTGCCATTGGCTTTTTGCATGCCAATACTGCAGGGTTACACACAATTTTTGAAACTTTGATCCCTTTGAGAGTTGGCCATAGACATAATTAAGTAGCATAATGCTGAATCAGTTGAGAGAAGCTATCCTTTTCAATTTGTGTTATAAAAGTGCTTTGCTTTGCAAAGGTCCTTTGTGCTCTGTGCAAAAGTAACTTTTTAAGTGTGTTGTATTTAGGAACATGCCATCTGTCAAAACAAAAGAGAGATTATTTGATCATTAGTATATTTATATCTTGCTTTTCTATCCAAAGGTACTCCCTTTGGATAGAAATTAATTGAAACATTTTACATTATGTTTTCTGTAATTTATGTTCTTCAGACGTATCTCTCCAAAGCAGCCAACCATTAATGCCCCCACTTGCCCAAATGCCTTCTAGCAACAAGATCTTGGACCATCTTGAATCTGAGATCAGGAACCTTAATCTTTCTCAGCCTATGCTACCTTCACATCCTGTTGGAAGCAGTCAGCATCCCAGCATTCTCTCTTCTTTGGGTTCAGAGATTGTGGAACGCAGAGTAATCCAGTTGCCTCCTATTGTTGAGCATATCCCATCCTCTCAGAGATCTAGCAGGTCATCACGACCAGAGAGGTCTAGACATACTTCAAGACCTCGGAGCAGCACAAATGAAAACCAGAGGGAGGAGAGAAGATGGAGGCATCGTTCATCTTGGGATGATGACTCTCCTTCCAGCTATGATCAGGAACTATGGGACAGGCATAGAAATCACAGAACTGAATCACAAAGATATGGCAGCCGCAGCCATCATGATAGATACCGGAGTTCTACAACAGATATAATACCCACCTCACGTGGCAGAAATAGTTTTGATTCCCATCTTGAGACCAGAAGAGGGTATTCTGGACAGCACCACTCTGGGAGAAAAAATCAACATTCACAACGACAAACGTATCAACATGACAAGAACTTTGGTCAGCAGGGTCATCGAAGACATCGCAGTTATTCTCCACCATCCTCCTGGGAGTCATGGAGCTCCTCTGAAGAACAGGAGAACTCCCGGAAAAACAATAGGCGGCATCAGCAGCAGCATTCCCCAGACTGGCAATATGAAAAACCGCCTAGTTATTGTTCTGTTGAAGTTACCCCAACCAAGAAGCAGAAACTCAGAAAGTCGGCAGAACAGTCGGTAAATTGTGTTATCATAGCTTTTATGATTACATGAATTATTCTGTCCTGAAACATACATGCTGGTCTGTAAGAGAGAGGAAATAGAGAATGGGATACAGAGGGAGGGTGGTGCTTCATAGGGGAGATGCTGCCACCAAGTGGGCACAACTACAGGGTCCAATAAGATGGTGTTATTTGATAGAAGGGATCCAGGGCATGACTTCTCTACTAGATCTGGTGGGGCAATCAGAAACAGTGAAAAAAAGATGGTGCCTCAAATAGCCTGGCCCTATGCCATGTAGGGCCTTATAAGTAATAACCAGAGCTTCACAAGAACTGGCAATGCATGTCATATTGTAAAGCTCTATAATGTTTTCCACCCAAATCAAAGAGAGGCTCGTCAGTGCTCTCAGCTTCTTTACATGCTCAAAATTCAGTAACTATTAAATAGCATCCTTCACTCCAATATGTTAAGGATTGGATGGCTTCAAATCATGCAAGTGTAAAATGTACTTTAAATTAATAGTCCTAAATGATGAAGTTCATTATAAATGGCTGCTGACCTGTCATCTTTCCTGCCGTCTTACTAATAGCAGTTTTCTTTTTTCTTCTAGGAAAAAGGCAGTTCTCGCAGTGGGATGAGTGTTGTCATTTAGCCTCTTCACTCTTATTACTGTATATAATGAGATTTCAGTGTCTGGCTGAACAGATTTTCATTCTGTCTTTTAATATTATTCACTAAGTGCATCAGTCATTAACAGGTTTATTTCACCATCACCATCAGCCTGCACCTTCTTGTATTAAATGTTTTTAATCTTTGTTGCACTTTGAAAAATGCAGTAAGATTTTTTACAAAACAAATTGTTTTTACAAAACAAATACTGAAACATGAATGATTTCCTTGCCTGGGTCTTGAGGTCTTACCTGGATCTTAATATTCTTACTAAGAATACAAATCTGCAACAGTTCATTAATTGGTGGGGTAGTTTCTGTTACTCCAAAAGATAACACTTTTAATCCTGGATAATGAATTACACATACTGTGTAATAAGATTTCTAGAAAATTTTGAGTCAGAAAACTTTCAGATACTAGTGCATATATCTAGTATCCACATTGTGCACAAATCTTTTAGCTACATTATTTGATGTCGATGGAAATGGAGCCTAATTTGACAGGTTTGAACATTCAAAGAAATTAAAAAGTTGATAAGTGAAAAAATATTGGAAACAATGTTGGGCAATAGGCAATAAAAATAACACACATTGCTGTGTATACCCAGTACATCAAGGAAAGTGGCTAGAAGGATGTATCTTTTAATGAGTGTTAAAACATGTCCAGTCACATCTAGACCGTATCTTTCTAAGTCTGAGGCAGATATTTACAACTGCTCAAACTACTTTCATCATTAGGAAATAAGGTATAGAGTGAAATATTGATGGTTATAAATATTGACGGTTATAAATATTGATGGTTATGGAGTGGTGCTGTTCAACTTTTTTTTATTAATCATTTACATGAGAAGTTGAGAATGATTATCAGATTTGCTAATGATACAAAACTAAGTGGCAATTACTAATATGCTAAAAGAGAAAACTCAGAATGATTTGTATAGATAATGTAAAGCTAGAAGCCAGGTAGAGATAATAACAGAATGAAACTAAATGATAGTAAATGCAAAGTTACTCATGAAACAAATGCACAAACGTAAGATAGGTGACACTGAGCTTGATTGTAATACTTGTGCAAAAGATCAAGGAATAGTTGATTAAAATCTAATTATGAATCAGAAGTATGATTAGATTGCAAAGTAGGCAGTTTGATGTTAAACTTCATCACGACAAGTATAGTTTCCAAATTAGGAAATTTACTTATTTGTTACATTGCATTGCTCAGACTCCACCTTGATTACTGTGTTCAGTTTGGGCACTATGTTTTACAAAAGATTCAAAGAACCAGAGAAAGGCAGTGAGGATGATAAGGTGTCTGCAAACTAAGTCTTTACAAAGAGGGGTTGAGGAGTCTGGGTCCTAAACTATTGTACCGGGACAGAGTACGTGACTTTGATTAATACCCTGCCTTCAGGTTCTTCGCATCCACCATACCTCCTCTGATATCACTACCTTTTCTAGATTGAGTAGGAAAATCAACAAAAGGTTTATATGTAAGTATACTTGAATGGTAGTAGAATTGTTTATGAAGTCACGGCTCTTGCTAAAGCAGGATTTCTGTTTGTGTGGAAGCCTCTAATCACAGTAAAGTTTATGATAGGGAGGTCAAATATGGGTGAGTTACGAAGCACCATCCTTTTTGCATTAATTTATCTTAATTATAGATATAGCTTCTCTATGTAGAAATTATGAACCGATATACAGTATTGTAACATTGCTCACTGTGGAAACTGGCTTCTATCATTTGTCAATTTAAACACAGCCATATTTCAAAGGAAGAGTAAATGAACCAAATAATAATAATAATAATAATAATAATAATAATAATAATAATAATAATAATAATAAATAATTAATAATAATTAATAATAATTAATAATAATTAATAATAATAATTAATAATAATTAATAATAATATAAAAAGTTGGAAATATGGGGCCTATTGTTGAGGTACTGTTTTGCAGGTGGATTTTTAATGGATGGGATACAGGATACAACAATGTTTGTCCATTGAGGGTCCATTAAAAGGGAGCTTACACCTTACCTTTATCTCCCTCACTCTTTCTCCTGAAGTTGGTTCTAGTCCTGTAGTGGCATGTTATTGGTGAATGCACTGGGAATATGTGTCAGGAAGGGAAGACAGGCTGATATGTGACAGTGCTTAAGAGTTGACTATTATGCGATGGGGAGACTTTCACTGACTTCACCAATGTTCTTGTGTCTTGCTGGCCCCCTGGGCCAGTCCCACAGGGGAGCAGGGATGTGATCCTGTATAGACTGTCAAGATGTGTCAGTGATTCTTGCAACTGGAATTTCCCTTTCTTTCAATTTTGGTGAGCAGAGTAGATCTACCAGGAAGAATATTGGTGGCCATTGGTTATCAGGTTTTTTTTTTTATCTAGTTGGAAGTTTCTACAAATGGTAACCTAAAGCACTAGTAGAATGTTCTTGTGTAGTGGAAGTTGAATAAAGTTAGGGGTCTGTTTCTAATCAACCTCAAGCTACTCTGGTCTCCTCATATTTTAACCAGGTTGCTGTTACATCTATATCTGATTTGCCAGCTATTTTCCACATTGAATCTCCATCTTTCACTTTCTATGGAGTGGAATCCCTCAGTATGATCTGTGTTCTTATACAAGGGACAGGGAAGAGAAAAAAAGTGGGTAGTGAATGAGAATGGGTGGGTGGTGAATAGGAATGGATGGGTGTGGACACTACTGAGTGTCTGAGTACAGGAATAGAGTAATTAATGTGGTTATTAAGAGGTTGAGAATGTTTGTATGTGCTTCATGACCTTGGAGGAGGTGGTGAGATTGGGACAGGAGACAGTATGCAGTTCAATCGAGATCATGATAGGGCAGGAGGTTGAGGACTAGCTAGAGATGGTGAGCCCAGTATCAAAAGCTTCCTATCTTCCAGCCCTCAGTATTCATCCCTAAGACCTGTAACAAACTGTAGATATAATCTTGAGGACCAGGAGAAGATCTGTAAACAACAAAACAGTCAGATAAAAATATTTTGAGTCCAAAGCAGAAATGTAACTTGACAAAGCATTGAGAAAGTGCTTTTAGATTTTCAAGTTTCTGTTACTAAAACCATATAGTCTATCTATATATAAATAAAAATGTAAATGTTCGTTTGTTCAAAATCTTAAATCTCCGAAAGTTCTTCACCGATTGCTTTGAAATTTTGACACAACGTTGCATTCGAACACGCGTGTGTTTTTATATACCTACTATTATATAGATGTCACACCTGTGACAGGTAAAAACACTCTACGATTTTACGATTCCATTTCAATGTTTCCGATTCAGTCTAACATTCAAAGCGAGGCAGTCACATACATTCCTCATTCCTCGCATTCCTATGATTCCAACAGATATGCCATTTCAATTTAAAAGATTGCAATTCCCAATTCGATTGGCATTTGCAATCACCATCAACAAAGCTCAGGGCCAATCTTTACAATTGTGTGGTTTAGCTCTAGACACGGATTGCTTCTCACATGGACAATTATATGTTGCGTGTTCTAGAGTCGGCAAACCAGACAATCTATATCTGCACAGACAATGGAACAACAAAAAATATTGTATACCCACAGGCATTGTGAAATTAAACATATTACAAACGTGCGCTTTCTCCTTTCTTTTCCATTTAACCAGACTGAGCCACAGCAACGCGTGGCCGGGTACAGCTAGTTATAAATAAAAATGTTAACAATTATAACTTTAATTTCCTACTCCTAGGCCAGTGATGGCGAACCTTTTAGAGACTGAGTGCCCAAACTGCAACCCCAAACCCATTTATGCATTGTCGGGTGCCGGGTGGGTGTGGCCCATTGGGTGGGCATGGCTGCGGTGGTAACGGCAAACTGGGTGGGATTAAAAAGTTCAATCAATCAATTCCAACTTTGCAAGATCTTTTTTTCTCCGCGAGAAGTTGAAATTGACTCATTGATTGAACCTTTTTTTTTTTTGCACATGGCGGAGGCCTAAAGAGAAAAGGTTTTATAAATCCCAGGTGAAGGCCTAGGACTGGGGCAACGGCGCGCGTGCCCACAGAGAGGGCTCTGAGTGCCGCCTCTGGCACCCGTGCCATAGGTTCGCCACCACTGTCCTAGGCCACCAAGGATCTAATGACCTGGTCTATTTTGAAGGGTTGACAAGGTGAGGTGATCAGAACCTTGATTTCCCTAGCATTCAGCTGTTCCACATAAAGATGTCTTCAGTCTGTTAATATTCAGTCTGTTAATAGTTTACACAAAAGTCTCTTAAGTCTATAAAGTAACATAACAATCTTTGCCTTCAAGACATTATTGTACTAGTTGGGAGGAGGTTGCTTCTTGTGTAATTGTTGCAGGCAAAGCTCCTGGCAGGACTCCCACCAAGCTGTGCTGCTCATCATAACTTGGGATCCTGGCAGTTGAAAGTCCTCTTCCCTTCTTGTAATAGTTGCCTGTCTACAGATACTGTCTCGGCTTCATCTGTAGGCCATTTGCCTTTATCTTTCCTAGTATACACACCTTATTTTCCACTCAGCTTATGCTTTTGTAAGTTCACAAGCCTGGGTGAGGTTAAGCTATTGCTGTATGTCCTTGAAAACATCAGGGTTTGGCTCCATTAGCCAGGCAGCTGGAACACTGGTTTGAATGCCTGGGAGTGGACTTCTGAGGATATGAATGAATGAATGAATGAATGAATGAATGAATGAATGAATGAATGAATGAATGAATGAATGCCTAGGGGAGAGATGGGGACAGCTTGTCTGCATGACTGCAGCTGCTTTTCAAACAAGCAGATAGCAACTCCAGTCCATTCTCTCACATGGTCTGAAGTCACCCAGCTGGCTTTCATGACTAAGGGAGAGCTACAATTCACAGTCTCCTGGTTTGTAGGCAAGCACCTTAACCACTATACCAAACTGCTTTTCTATGTATAATCAAGACCTGAGTGAGCCTGGAAGCACGGGGATTCTCTTTTTGGAGATATAAACAACTCTCCCAGTTCTTGAGCAGAGTTACACACCTAACCCTGCATTTAAGTGCTGTAATAAGGTTTGCTCTTGTTCACTTACCTGTTCTCCCATCACTGACACACTTTCACCTTGCTAATAGAAGCAGGAACTAGAGACTTTTAGATCAATGATGATTGTACATCATCAGTCACCTGGTGCTCAGCAATGGTCCTGGGGGAGAATCCAATAGCTGTGGTTCTATTTCTGGCAATTATCTCCTGGATGTAATGAGGGAAGAGTTTTCTATTCTGAGTTACGAGTGTGCCAACACTCTTCCATTAGCCCATCCTTTGAGTTTCCTCTTGCTTCGTGTGTTATAAGCACTGAAATAGGCATGAAGCAATGTTACAGCCTTTTAGCTCAAGGGTCCCCAACTGCCGGACCACAGCCCACTACTGGGCCACAGCCTGTTCGAAACTGGGCCGTGGGAGAGATGGGCAAGTGCGCGCGTGGGTGAAGCTCCACTCGCACATGCGGCAGGCCCTTGTGCTCGCTCTCAAAGCCCCATTTGCACGACGAGCTTCACGCACAAGCACAAGTACCTGCTGCTTGCGCGACTGGAGCTTCACATGCAAGAACAAACACACTCCATGTGCGAAGCTCCATTCACGTGACTGGAGGGTGCAAGCGCCCACTGCTCGCAGAAATGGAGCTATATGTGCACGCCTATGCCTGCCACTCACATCCCCCCACCATACGCCGGGCCGGACAGTCAAGCTGGAAAGGTTGGGAATCGCTATTCTAGCTTACCAGTTAAGAGGTACATGCCTCACATATATCTTCTATTTGCTGTTGTGGGCTGCAAAAGATGACTTGGGAGGCTGACTGTAGGTTTTAAGTCACACAAAAGTGAAACTGGCCCAGCTTGTTTATATGCCCCTATTTATCTTATAAATAGAATATTACTACTTAATGATGGATCACTTTAAAGTGAAAAGGGTCCAGCACTAAGTCTTCACATAAAGATTTTTGCATGAGTGAATTGAATGCTTATCTATGGTATAATTTGAGTAATGCACAATTCTTGTGCTGGGAAACAATTCTACAGAGGATCTGTGAATCATTAATTATCTCTACTGCAAGACAACAGTAGAATAGCACATTCTAATACAGGTCCTTATCTCCATATAAAACAAATACTACAAATGAACTATACACTCAAAGTTAATATGTACTGAATTTCTTTGGCATATACATAGTCTAATAACTGATAGTGCTGGATTGCAGGACACATTCAAAACAACATCGGCATAAACAGTTATTAAATTAACTATGTAAACCAGTACAATAATAAAGGTTTCAAATTCAGTTTATTGAAATAAAGATTCTGCAGTTTCATCACTATTTGTTTGAAATTGGTTCACAAGTGTCCACTTGATCGTTAGCACACAATCTAGAAACAGTTCAGTTTAATTTGGCATCAGGAGTAGTGTAAGTTCTGTCCAAAAAGAATAATGATGTCAATCACAGGTTTTGTAGTTAAAAAGAGTGTACTCAAGTACACTATCCTGGGTAAAATCTAGAAAAGTGTGTTTGTGTGTGTGTGCAGGTCCCTCATATATTAATTAAGATTATATACATAATGAACAACATATATGAGGCAGCCCTGAACAAGCAAAATGGAGACATTTTGAATCTTATTTATAACAAATATATAGGACAAAAATATTTCATCCTTTTAAATGCTGTGTCTTGTTAGATATATATCAGAATGAAGCATTGCCTGTTTTAGATATTTCTGTATACAAACAATTTTATCTTTTACACAATTTGCTTTTCAATTGCATATTTACATAAAGCCCACATTTTGTCATTGCTAGCAAACTGAAGTTTGAAGGAAATGTAAAATAAAGCTAAGCAAATCATGTTCTAATAATGTTTATAAAATGTGTTTGGATTAGGTTTCAAAACAATTACCTGCTAAAGCAGATCTAGATAGGAAAAAGTTTTAGAGTGCATTACAGTTACTGTCTTGTACATATACTTATTCTGTCCACTGCACAGGAATCATATTTCAGCTATTAGATCTTTTCATTCATGGGTAATAAAGAGTATATTTGGGGAAACAATTATTTGGCACTTTAGAAAAGTTGATAGTGCTGCTTATCATTTAAGCTCAGAATGTCAACTGAAATTTTCCATGTGCCTTGAGAATATTTATAGGTAGGGTAGATTTTGATTATATCTTCTAGTCTCCTGCTGCTCTTTTCAGTTTGGCAGTTATCTACAGGCAAAGGCATCAACACCACAATGAGTCTACCAGGAGACACTTTAGAAGCTTCTTGTATTTTAATAGCACTTAGCATTTAAACTTATATTCCACTCCTAAGTGCTTTACAGCACTCTCTGAGCAGTTTACAATGTCAGCATATTGCCCGGAACAATCTTGGTACTCATTTTACCGACCTTGGAAGGATGGAAGGCTGAGTCAACCTTGAGCCAGTCAGGATCAAACTGCTGGTTGTTTGCAGAGTTAGCCTGCAATACTGCATTCTAACCACCACGGCTCATAGGCCATGATTTTTTTATCTAGTTTTTATCAGTTGTTCTAAGCCAGGGGTTCCCAACCTGTGGGCCACGGCCCACTAACGGTCCATGGCCTATTTGTAACCGGACCACATGAGTGAATGGCTGGTGCGTGTGCACGCACACAGCCCTACTCACGCAAGCATCGGAGCACTCGCAAGCATCGGAGCACTCGTGCAAGGGTTGTGGGCGCTCAGGGTCTCAGTCACGCAAGGGTTGTGGACACTTGTGGCCCCCTCGCCTGACCACTCAGGACCTCACTCGCAGGAGTGCTCGGGGCCTCATGCAAGGAGTCTCACTTGTGCGAGCATCATGGGTGCTCTTGGCCCCACTTGCGTGAGTAACAGGTGCTTGTGCGCACGCACACGTCTGCCCCTCTCACAAAACCATCCCCTCTTCCCCCCCTCCTCCCCCTCCAAGCTGCCAACCTGGAAAGGTTGGGGAACTTGAAGAAAATGAGACATTATTCATTATATCAATCTTGTAAAGGCAAATCTACCTCACTGAAATAAGTTCAAATTTATACCATCTCAAATCTGCACATGTCTTTATGGAAAATGGCATAGAAAACTACATCTTAGGACTTACTTTAGGTTTTTTTTTCAAAGATAAACAATACCTTTATTAGGTTGAGCTTTGGGGCATGTTATCAAGGCCAACAGTACTTTTGTTAAGGTTTAACTAACTCTATGTATTGTGAAACAGCTGATGTGAAACAAAACAAGACTTCTTGGGTGCAATTATTTGGAGACTGAAAGACAGCTGATATTTCAGAATCAGAAGAAACAGCAGCCAGTGAAGAGGTAGGTGATAATTCTAGCTCTGAGTAAATGGAATATATCAAATGAGTAAACAAATTCCATTTATTTTATTGACAATGGGTTGGAGAGGGGGGAACAGAATGGAACAATAATCCCAAATACTCAATTTGTAGTATGATGTTCATCCTAAGAAGTAGTTAAATTAGAACAAGGGTGATCTAGGTTCAGATATTTTTTCAATCCTAGAGATTGTTACGTAATCTCAAGTCAACAATTGTTCTCTAAAACACCTTATAGGATTATTAGGAGGATAAAAGCCCATAGAGTCTTTTGACTTACTTAGAGAAATAAGAAAGATACAGTAATGTTAGCTGAATACAAAATATGAATTACCATCCATGAATAGAATTGAATAGAATAGAGCTGGAAGGGACCTTGGAGGTCTTCTAGTCCAGCCCCCTGCTGGTTAATTGTCCTCACTGTCAGGAAATTTCTCCTTAATTCCAGGTTGCTTCTCTCTTTGATCAGTTTCCAACCATTGTTTCTTTTTCCTGCCCTCTGGTGCTTTGGTGAATTACATGACCCCTTATTCTTTGTGGCAGCCCCTCAAGTACTGGAATACTGCTATCATGTCTCCCCTATTTCCTCTTTTCGTTAGACTAGCCAAACCCAAATCCTGCAGCCGTTCTTCATATGTTTTAGTCTCCAGGCCTTTGATCTTCTTAATTACTCTTCTCTGAATTTTTTCCAAACTCTCAACATCTTTTTTGTGATATGGTGACCAAAATTGGCTGCAGTATTCCAAGTGTGGTCTTACTAGGGTTTTATAAAGTGGTACTAATACCTCACGTGATCTTGATTCTATGCCTCTGTTTATACAACCCAGGATTTTATTAGCTTTTTTGGCTGCTGCTGCACACTGCTGGCTCATGGTCAAGTGATCGTCCACTAGAACTCCAAGGTCCCTCTCACAGTTACTGTTTTTAAGCCAGGTCTTGCCCAATCTGTATTTGTACCTTTGATTTTTCCTACCTAAATATAAAACTTTGTTTTTCTCCACATTGAAACTCATTTTGTTGGATAGGGCCCATTGTTCAAGTTTGTCAAGATCTTTTTGGATCCTGAGTTTGTCTTCTGGGGTGTTGGCTACTCCTGCCAGTTTGGTGTCATCTGCAAATTTGATGAGTTCCCCTTCAATTCCTTCATCTGTCAGTGATGGCGAACCTTTTAGAGACCGAGTGCCCAAACTGCAACCCAAAACCCACTTATGTATCATTGGGTGCCGGGTGGGCATGGCCCATTGGGTGGGCGTGGTCCATTGGGTGGGCATGGCTGCGGTGGTAACGGCAGACTGGGTGGGACTAAAAAGTTCAATCAATCAATTCCAACTTTGCAAGATCTTTTTTTTTCCGCGAGAAGTTGAAATTGATTGATTGCTTGAAACTTTTTTTTTTTGCACACGGCGGCGGAGGCCTAAAGCGAAAAGGTTTTATAAAACCCAGCTGAAGGCCTAGGACTGGGGTGACGGCACACGTGCCCACAGAGAGGGCTCTGCGTGCCACCTGTGGCACGCGTGCCATAGGTTCGCCACCACGGATCTAAGTCATTGAGTGTTATACTTCATTTAATTTTATTGCTACCAACTTTTGGCCCTTCAAGGATTATAATTTTACAGGAGAAAAACTTGAAATAGTTCATGTATCTGAGGAAGTAGATTCTTGTAAAAAAAAACACTAAACCTTTTACCATAGTAAGTGGGCAGGCTTTCAAGTGCTTCAAGAATTTTATTTGCAGGTGTTTTTCAAAATATATATGACAGAAGTAATTTAACCACAGCATGAATTTATGTCATATCTATTATTTCACAGTGCTGCAGTCAGTATTATGAGAGCTCTTACTTCTTAAATTAATGTAGTGGGAAATCATTATGTTGGGATGTTGGCTCAACAGCAGTAATTGTGAAAGGGATCTAGGAGTCCTAGAGGACAACCATTTAAGTATGAGCCAGCAGTTTGCTGCAGCTGCCAAAAAAACAATACAGTCCTAGGCTGAATCAACAGAGAGATACTCTTAAGATCACATGAAGCATTAGTATCACTATATACTGCCTTGGTAAGACCACCTTTGGAATACTGTATCCAATTCTGGTCAACATGACCCAAAAAAGATGTTGAGACTATAGAAAGAGTGCAGAGAAGAACAACAACGATAATTAGGGGTCTGAAGACCATAACATATGATGAACAGTTACAGGAACAGTCTAATGAAGAGAAGGACTAGGAGTGACATGGCAGCAATCTTCCAACATTTGAGAGGCTATCACAAAGAAGAGAGGGGCAACCTGTTCTCCAGAGTATCTGAGACAAGTAAGACAAGAAGTAAAGGAAACTTATCAAAGAGAGATCCAACCTAAAACTAAGGAGAAATTTGCTGACTGTGAGAACAATCAAACAGTAAAATGGCTTACCTTCAGAAAGTGTCGATGTTCCATCACTGGAGGTTTTTAAGAAGAGATTGGACAGCTATTTGTCTGGAATGATATTGGGCCTCCAGCTTGGGCAAGAGGTTGGACTAGAAGACCTCCTTCCAACTCTGTTATTCTGTATTTTTTAAATCAACAAATAGTGTACGTCTCTGTAATATGCATTATATATGATCTTCTAAATACTGTATAAAGAACATTAAAGAACATTATTTCCTATATTCTAGCAGAATTTATAGACAACCTTGACCCTAGATAGCACAGAACATAATGGGATTTTCTTGCTGGGTAACAATGTGTACAACATTGAACAAACTGGAAATCTATGGAGATTTTCAGTCATCCAGGTCATGGTTGTCCCAACGATGCTTTTTCAAGAGGCAACTGGACTTTCTTGATTTTTCTTTGAAGACATTTCGCTTCTCATCCAAGAAGCTTCTTCAGCTCTGACTGGATGGTGGGGAATGGAATGGAATATAAGTCCTTCCATTCCCCACCATCCAGTCAGAGCTGAGGAAGCTTCTTGGATGAGAAGCAAAATGTCTTCAAAGAAAAACAAGAAAGTCCAGTTGCTTCTTGAAAAAGCACCTTTGGGCCAACAAACTGGAAGCTTGTTTTCCCTCAGTATATGACTGTAGTGCATATCAGCAGCACCTAGAGATGCACCTACAGTAGGTTCCAGTATACATTGTGAAGAAAGAGAATTCATCAATGGATATAATTTGAAGAGTGGGAAAAGAACACAATATTGTACTGTCTTGTTTTAGTAAAGTACTGGCCTCTATATTGCCTATGGTTGTATCATGACATTATATTATTCTTATGAAATAGCAAAGCATTAATACTTTTTTTTCCCCAGAACTCTGCAAAACTATTTGTCAACCTCTACCAAAACAGTGATCAAAACTATGCTCCAGCTCAAGCCTTTATCTCTTGGTCTGATCCTTTTACTTGGACCTATGATGACTGGTGAGATCTAGGGGCCTTCCATTCACAGTTGTTTTGCTTGCTGAATCTTGCTTGCCTCAGCTTTCAGTTAAAGTTAAGTCCTGGTATTAAGTGTGGAATGTATGTGATTTATTATTGTTGCTATATCTAGTTACTTATGAACTAAATAAGGGTCAGACACTTTTCAGAAAAAGTTTTAAAAATAACAGAGTTGGAAGGGACCTTGGGGGTCTTCTAATCCAATCCCCCGCTCAAGCAGGATAATCAGCATCAATGTTGTGTATTGCATTAATCAAGAAATAGCATGAGCTTTGTTCTAGCAATAGGATTAGTGAAGTGATTAAATAATATTTTAAAAATTAACTTACCCAGATTGTTGTTGTTGTTGTTGTTGTTGTTGTTATATCATGATGTTAGAAGGGAACACTTAGGCCATTACATCAGCCCCTCTTGCCCTGTGCAAGAATCCAAATTAAAGAATCCCCCACAGATAACCATCTACTTCACATATACCCAGATAAGAGAAGTCATCATATATCTAGCTGGTACTCTGACAAATTAACATTACTATTAGAAATTGCCATAGTAATGAATACTATGTATATGTATTATGAGTACATACTGATAGTAGTGAGTACCAGTATTTCCTGCATTCTGGAATGATAAAGAGTAAGTCTTGATGTTCTTCTAACATCAGGTATTTGAAGAATACTATTGTATGGCCCCATTATTCCTCTGTTTTCTAAGCTAAATATGACCAATTGTTTCTACCTCCCTTCATAGAGACGTAGCTTGTAGTCTCTTGATCATTCTTACTGACCTCTTTAAACCTGATCCATTTTCAGCATCATACCCTGAAAAGGATTTAATCCCACAAAATACAGGAATAAGAAAAATATAATTGTGGAAAATACACGATAGTTAATATTACAATGCAGGTAACTGATGATCAATTACATGATCATCAACTACAGTTCTGATCCAATTTGGGAATTCAGCAAGTACAAACAAATGAAACAAGAAAACATACAAAAAGTCATATAAAAGTCAAAATCAAAGTCCGCATTCTGTAGAGAGAGGACCACTGGTTTGAAAAAGGGGTAAAAGAGGCCATCTATTTTAAAACTGAACAGCCCTCTCTCAACAGAGTGGAATACGACACCACCTATCTCCTGTATACAACATAGTCCTTTCAGCAGTTCCAAGAAGATTCCACACCCATTTGCACTGATTCAGGTGACCTTGAGTGCACAGATAAACCCCCAAGTGGCCTCAATGGCTCTCAGAGAGAGTGCTAATGACCAGATGAGTACAAAGAAATGTAATCCTTCCATTCCCCTACACACACATCATTCAGTCAGAACTGAAGAAACTTCTTGGATGAGAAGCGAAATGTTTTTCTGAAGGAAAAAACAAAGTCCAGTTGCCTTTTGAAAAAGGACCTTTGAGATATGACCTGGATGACTGAGAATCTCGACATACATATAAAAGTAAATATAAGGATTCTGCAGACCACAAGATGGCACCAATCTGCTACAAAATAAAAGGAAACTTCCTGTAAAGAGACTAGAACAGGATCCAAAATTAATATATTCTCTGAAAATTCTCAGCAAATATTTTCCTTAAATTGTATCAAAAATTAGAGACAACTTACTGTATATCACACAGAGAAAATTTAAGAAATAAATAAAATTGCTAAAAACAATTCTTCACTAGAATGTTTGTTCCTGTTCCTGTAGAAAATAGACCACCAATGAAGAGAAACTCCATCTGTTCCAACTGATACCTGGAAATTTCTTTTTCCTGTAAATTCCACTTTAATCAGATATTGGAGGAAAACAAAGTAGCTCTTTCCTTCTGTCCATCTTGGCAGGCAGCTTTGAGCCCTGTTTCCCCAACGTCTGCCTCTGGTTTTCGCTGGAACAAAGCTCTAGGCACAGTGTTTCTCAACCTTGTCAACTTTAAGATGTGTGGACTTCAACTCCCAGAATTCCTCAGCTATCATGCTAGCTGGGGGATTTTGGGAGTTGAAGTCCACATATCTTAAAGTTGACAAGGTTGAGAAACACTGCGTTCTAGGGCATGGGTGCCAAACTCACAGCGTCACATGACGTGTCGTGACGTATCATGACTTTTTTTGCATTGCCGGAGCTGGGGTGGCCGTGGCCTCTGTATTATGCAACCGGCCCGTGGGCCAGATATTTGACACCCCTGCTCTAGGGGAATTCAGGGAATTTGTCTCCATCCATGTGCCAAAGCCTCTGTCTCAAACAAATGTGTCTATTCATCTCAGATGCTAGGTTTCTGTCATTTGGATTGGCCAACTGAATGCTAGATGTGATTCATGCTTTTGACAATACAAATGTTTCCCGTTAGCCTTCTTCCTTTTCCTCTTTATCAGAATTGTTTGCAATTGTAATTTTAGTATCTCTTTCTCAGGAAATCCACCCATCTTGAGCTCATTTTCTCCTTTCCTGCCATAGAATCTTACATCACAATGCTTAGAATTCAATTTGTTTTTAGGAACATGCATTTACCTGATAGATAGCTTTTCAGTGGGCAGAGAAAGGCAATTTCACTTCTTGTTAAGTTCTTGTTATATTATTTAATGTCCTGAAAAATGGGACATATTTATTTTCATCAAATATTGTGCATGAGAATGATGCTGATTATTGTTGCACACCTGCACATGCACAACAACCCACTGTGAATGTTTAGTTCTAGGCAAGATCTTGTTACATGGTTATTGCTTTCTTATTTGATTGACTGAGACTCTTGATTGATTTGGAGAACTTTACGGGTTGCAGTTTTTAATTTGCACTACAGTTTTCTCAGTTGTTTACAGCCCTAAGCAAATGTTATATTTGTATATCAGTAAAATTTGCAAAATGTTACATAATTGTTAGCTCAAAGAGTCATTGTGAAATAAGCCATTTTCATGCCACTTTGCAGACAAATAATTTTCCTATTGACATAATCAAACTTAGATCCATTTCATTATAAAAACTTAGCCCAATTTCAGAAGAATGGGGCTTAAAAATAAATATATGCATGCCACCAAACTATTGCAGGTTTGCAATAGCAAAATGGATATATAATTCTTTCAATCCATACTGCAGACAGATCAAATCAAATATATAGAAACATAAACCTGCACATATTTGCCTAAATATACCAAAGATTATATATCTTAGTACTGTAATTCTTGGAAAATTTTGGCTTTCTAGTAGGTGCTAAATTATATGGGTAAACCTCAACTTATGATCATTTGTTTAATTATCTTTCAAAGTTATGATGGTGATAAAAAGTGACTTACTACCAGTCCTCACATTTATGAGTTCCCTTATGTCACATGATCAAAGTTTAGGCACTTTGCAGCCAGCATGTATTTGTATCAGTTGCAGCAGCCCAGAGTCATGTGATTGCCATTTGTGACCTTCTCTGGGGGGCTTTCAGCAAGCAAAGTCAATGCGAGAAACCAGATTCATTTAACAACCGTGTGATTTGTTTAACGACCCCATAGCTAAAAAGGTTGTAAAATCAGGCATAACTCATTTGTAAAATCAGGCATGATTCATTTAAAAATCACACCACTTAGCAACAAAGGTTCCGATCGCAACTGTGGTCATAGGTCGGGGACTACATGTACACCTTGTTATGTCCTGAGCTAATTGATGGTAGCAGGTGCAGGGAACTGCACGGAGACCTTGGCAGACCACGTGGCCTGCCGAGCTAGACTTGCTGTCTGCGAGTCACTGAGCATGCGTTTGAGCGGGGAAATACGTTGCATTCATTGGCTGACACTGTCCCAGGGAGAATGTATAAAAAGGGGCAGAGCCATCTTGTTTTCTGTTCTGTTGAAGCCTGAATAAAGAAGTACCTGTTTGTTACTCTGCCTCGTTCAATGCCTACCAACACGAGAAACAGAACACACCTCATTCAGATGAGCTTTTAATTTTAATTTTTGTCTTTTCCAGAAACTGAAGCCAAAGCCATTTCAAAGAGGCATGTTCGTCGTGATTGGCTGATGATTCCTGATACAATTGCATTTAATATATATTCCTTAGTAAATGAAGTGTCACCTAAAGTAGCCGAGTATTTGTTTAATGCTGTCCAAACACCAATTATTCTTGAAACAAGGTATGTCATGTCAAGTGATTGCCATCCACAGCTTGCTAGGTCATTTGTGGAGGTGCATGAATTGGTATGAAAGGCAAGACTGAGAGTAAAGGTGTTAAGTAGCTCCAAGGCCAATAAACCATTTGGCAGAGAGACCAGCTTGTCACAGGTGGTGGACACTGAGAGGCCATAAGTGACAGTGGGATGTTGATGACATGATGTGGCTGCCACAAAGCCTGATTTACTTTTCTTTGCTGCAGTCCAAAGATGTAAAATAAAATGTCCTTTTCTCAATACTGAAACAATATTATTGAAATAAAACTCAGCTGATTGATTTCTGCATGTAGGACTGTGGATGGAGCTATATTGGCTTTAATTCAAGAAGCAAATGGTTTTTGCTGCCCCTCTTGTTAATCAATTACTTTTTTTGTAATGCAAGTTTTATTAAGTTTTTCAGTTTTTACAACAAAGTGCTTAGGAAACAGTGTGATGATAGGGTAGTCAATTATCCAAAAGCCAACACATTTATGTATAATTCAAATTAACTTGTTAAAAATTCCCTCTCTAGTTCCCACCAATCATGTAACATATTCAGATTGATACATTTCTAGTACAAATCCATCAATCAATAACATTTATGAAAAGCCATTAATTGTAAAAATCACAATCCTGTATTTAAGCTTTGCAAAATTCCAATTACCATATTTCAATTAGCCATTACCAAACTTATTATTTAAACTTCGGGTATCTGTAATTTCCCTCTGTTCATAACATAATAATTATAATATCTAAAAGAAAAAGAAAAAAAAGAAAATCATATTATTCCTACAATTACATTCTTATATTTCCTGAACATATTCTATTCTTGTTCTAATATCTCCTCCTTTACTAATACCATATCTTCTGTTAACACAATCCATTTTCTTATTCTCCTTCCAATACAAAATAATTATCATACATAAAATAAACACATTAATTCAAAAAATACAGTTTATATCTCAAATAAATATTCTACTAACCAAGAATTTTCCTCCCACTTATAATTCTAAATCTTAAACCTTAAGTCAATCCATGTCTAAAGAGCCTTTTTAACCCATTGCATACAATTTTAGGTCACACTCTTAAGTCTTATTCTAGCTTTCTTTTTGTGCCAAGCAGGTTTCCATAACAGAGCCTCTATATCAACAAATAAATCTCTCTTTATTCCTTGTGGTATCATTTGCGTAAAAAAACCCACATCCCATCCTCTGTTTTAGGAACTTGAATCCTTTGTAATAATCAATTACTTTTCTTAGTGCATATCCACACACCCTCCTAATTGTGCCTAACCATTGTTGAAGCTTCCATCCTCATAATGCAGCCTTTATCTCGTCTCCATCCAAGGCCATTTATCTGAACTGATGTAAAGATGTTTTTCATCTTTTCCCAACACTAACCTTGCTATTTTACCAGCTTGTAGCACTTTGGTAGTGATTATGGCAAGGAGAATGGAATGTCCCCACTTTCCATTCACTCCTATTTCTGCAATATTATAACCACCTATTTCCTATCACCAGGCTCTCCCAGCATCCTTTGCAATTTGGTTTCTGCTTTTATAGTAACAGCTACAGGCTGGAAGAAAAGTGGCAGCCACAACAGAAAGATTGCTGCTATTATTACCTGCTTAGGAGCAATAATGGACTTCAATATTGCTGTTGATCTTCTTTTAACCTGGTTGTTGCTACAGTTCCATATTTCAAAGTCCTTTCCTTTTTAAAATTCCAATGTGCTGCTCACAACAGCCCAAGAAGAAATAGATCACTGTAAATTAGCACATCTGAAGACACTGGACAGTGGACGTTTATTGGGCGAGGTAGTTTTAGAACATTTTTCAAACTCTCTAACATAGGTATCTCTTTATGGCAGGAGCTTCCTGATAAGAAAAACAGCTGAGCTCAATATACTGGCTGAACAACTGGGAGAAAAATTATCTGGATTATGGAAAGAATCGAAAGAGTCAGCACAGTGATAACACCTGCATGAATCTGTGAAATACATCCTTGTGTTTTTGCACATACAACGATCTTTAAAAAATCAGTAGTGCAAAGAGAAATCTTTGTGAAGAACATTGGGAAATAAATAAGCTACACTCAGCAAGAATAAATTATAAAGGTTCTTTCTTCATAACAAATATTATTTGCTTCTGCTATTGGAAATAATCACAATAGACCATTTATCTCATTTCATTAACATTTGATTCCTGTTTTTGTTTGTTTATTCGTGTGCTTGCCCATCTGGCCATCAGTTATGGCAAACATTTCATACATTTGAATGATTGTGATTCATGAAAACGTATCCATGGCCATGGTCATACTAAACAAATCTGTCAACTTTGAGATGTTATTAACCTTTTGTTGACTTTACTGCAAATGAGCAAATGGCTAACCCTCAGGAAATGTAAACAAAAAATAGGCAGTGCCTAGTTCCTAGTTAGCATTCTGTCAGGCAAGGCGTCAGAATATAAGTGAGCTGGAAACACAGCTTAATGTATTTGTTTCTCATGGTAAACAATTAGGAAATTCCTACCTGGATTTCATCCTGTACCCAGCTTTGGCAATAGGACTGTTCAGATGTACCTTACCATGACCCCCAATTTGTAAATTCCTCCTGTCCTTGACAAAGCAAACACCCAACTATCCAAGGGCAGGTTGTTAAAGCCATATGATTTCCTTTTATAGACTTTGTATGAATCTACCTGTGTTGACTCCTCCTTGTACTTTTCATATCACTCAGTGAACCACAAGGAAAAGAACACATTATTTTACTTTTCTTGTCACTTAGGCCAGAAGGAGAAACTGGCAGAACTCTTGTCAACATTATTTCAGAAAGACTAAACCATCATTTCACAAGTGAAGTTGTTAGAAAAGGTCAAGCCATTCACCAGTCCATTGATGAACCTGTTTAAAAAGAACTCCAGTATTTCATGGGTCCATTGGGGGAAGATTCTTTCACAAAGGGGCAGACACTCCATAAACCATCATAGAGGGTAACTTCCAATGGTCAAGAGAATCAGAGATATTCTTGCCACTGCACATCGTAGACTTTTGGAGCAGACGTGTTTGAAATAAAGTACAGTGAGCAAGCCACACAGTGGCACTTATGCCAGAAGTAATCAGAAAGCAATATCCCAAAGATACTTTTTCACAAGGCAACTGGACTTTTTTGTTTTTCTTTGAAAATGTTTCATTTCTCATCCAAAAAGCTTCTTCAGCTCTGACTGGATGGTGGGGAATGAAAGGATTTATACTCCTTGCAGACTGCTGGTCATTTGCCAAGAAGGCTCCACAACCACTTGCACTACTCAGGTGTCCCTGATGACACAGATAAACCTCCAGGTGGCCTCAACAACTCTCTAAAAGAATGCAAATGACCAGCTGTCTGCAAGGAGTATAAATCCTTCCATTCCCCACCACCCAGTCAGAGCTGAAGAAGCTTCTTGGATGCGAAGCAAAATGTCTTCAAAGAAAAACAAAGTCCGGTTGCCTCATGAAAAAGCATCTTTGGGACAACCATGACCTGGATGACTGAGAATCTCCATAGACATTCAGAAAGCAATACTTTGGGTGCAGAGCAAGAAATAACCAGAAGTTACTTCACAACAGACCAGGCAATTGGAGCCTTATATTATACATCATGGTCTCTAAGAAAGAGCTAATGGGCTATCTTTTTGTGAGGCAGAGAGGACATGAACCAGAGTAAGATAAAGAAGGAACAGGAAAAAAATTTAATTGACATCTCTCTGTCCCTTGTGCTCAGTAGGTTGGGACAAGCAGAAAGGTCACTAATACAAAACACACTTTCACACGTTTATTTATATTCTGCCCTTCATTTAGAGATTGCTTCATAGATTAAATGTCTTTTAAAGTATATTTAATACCTGTTTATTATATACAGTAAGTTCTTTTTGCAGTAAAATAACCATTGCATCTAATGTGGAAAAACAAGCCTTTAATTCATATATACTCCATATATTTTAGTTAGAATTTTAGTCATTACTTAGAAAAGACATCTTTTTCCCATAACAGTAGGTATTAATGGGCTGAATCCAAAATGTTGGAGTAACATGGAATGCCCTAATTGGTTTATGACAAGAACAGAAAAACCATATTCTCTCAAATTCAGATTAGAGACTGCCCACATATTAAGGGAAATCAGAAAAATTGAGTCTAGATTTCTGATAGCAACAGTCATCACAGTAATATAAACACAGCTGCCCTTGAACTGCTCTTTCTAAATGCTTTTAATTCAGCAATTGTAAAATATAAATAAAATCCTTTAGGGTAATATACAGTCACTGATATACCTGTATGTATATAACAAAAGCTAAAAATTATGTATCCTTGCAGGAATACTTTACAGGCTCTCTCACAGGCTGCCTGGTGAGAGTTACATGTATAGCCTAGGCTATCTGTCTCTTTTTAATTTTATTTATTTTTATTTCACCTTTATTTTTTATAAATAACTCAAGGTGGCAAACTTACCCAATCCTCCTCCTATTTTTTTCACAATTCTGTGAGATAGGTTGGGCTGAGAGAGAGTGATTGCTCCAACATCATACAGCTGGTTTTCATGCCCAAGGCGAGACTTAACAGGAACTTAACGCTTTTCTGGTTTTTAGTCTGGTGTCTTAATCACTAAACCAAACTGTCTTTCATTACCTTCTTCAGAATTGCAAAACCATTACAACAGCCCGAAAAGATTGCTCTGAAGAAACTATTTTCTTCATTAAAATTCTAAAACCAGGTTTTCTAGCAGTTTGTCAGCAGTGTCTCTTTCTGCAGAGGCCAGGGCTCAGAAGCCATGATGCTGGAAGTTGCTCTTGATTGGATTGATGTTCCAATTTTGTAAAAAGGGTTGTGGAATAATTCAGTTTCTCTTTTGGATCTGAAGTTGCATTCTTCAAAGTCACAGGACTTCATTTTTCAAAAAATGCACGGGATGTTAAAAGTCAAAATCAATTGCAGCCTCTGTCCAGACATCTCAGAACTTATATCCAAAGCCCCCTTGAGGACCTCCTTGAGGAGATTATGCTCTACAGTTGTGAAAGTAGGCCTCTTCTCAGTTGCAGACCAATAGTAACCTCTACATGCACCAGTTTAATGGTTTTTATTTTTATCTGGCAAACTGTTTTTCTTGACAGGATTAGTAACAAGCATATACCTATCTCAGGGGTTCTCAACCTTGGCAACTTTAAGACTTGTAGACTTCAAAGCTGGCTGAGGAATTCTGGGAGTTGAAGTCCACAAGTCTTAAAGTTGCCAAGGTTGAGAACCCCTGACCTATCTGGTAGGGGACTTGTGACCTGGTGGTATGGTGGAATCTGGTGCTGAGTTACCAGAAGGGGAAATAAACAGAAACCTTGAATCATTGCTATGCAGAAGTAGCCCAAGAGGGATCTTCCCTAATTTCTTTTCAGCATTTATCAGATAGTTATGCAGTGTATACTTTAGTCTGATGAGATTTTGTCCATGGGTGAACATGCCATAAAGAAACTGCTTGAACTGTCTCATTCTCGGTTTCCCTTGCCTGACAGGTGGAAACCGTAAGAATATCTGGGGGAATCTCATCCGGGAAGGCAGGTACTATGACAGAGAAGGTGCACTTCCTGGATCCTGCAAAATGGCACTGTTTGATCAAGGAGACAAAACATGCACTAATTCTGACAGCACTTATTTGCCAAGCAGAAGCCATGGAAGATAGGTAGTCCCTCAAATAACCTGGCCCTATTCCATTTAGGGCTTTATAGGTGATAACCAACACCTTGAATTGCACATGAGCAATCAATGCAGCTCACGAAGCAGAGGTGTTATATGAGCATATCAAGCAAGCTTTTCACTGCCCATGCCATTGCATTTTGGATCAGTTGAAACTTCTGTTGGGTCCAAGGATAGTCTACTATAGGGATTTCCTATAGTATCTACCTGGTGGATTCAATCTGGCAGGGTTGGTCCCTTCAATTAAGCAATGCCTTCTATCAGGACCCAGGAAGGGCAACTTCTCTGTAACATAGCCTGCTCTCTGGAATAGGTTCCCCATGAGATCCAAATGGCTCCTACCCTGCTGGTGTTTTGAAGGTATCCAAACACCTGGTTCTTCACCTAGGTCTTTGGTGAGGTTGACTGAAACTCCTTTTGATCTAGGTTGCTTTCATTTGTTTCTACCCAATTGTTATTCTGCCATCTCTGCCTTCTTTTGTTTTGTTTTTAATTGTCTTATTTTTATTTTTAAATAACTTGTATTTAATTTCAAATGCCCAGAATTACTGGCATCTGGTGGAAGGTAAATGTGTAAACAATATGTTTAGAGTCCAGTTCACAGTAAAATGTTGTTTAGATCATTTAATTTCTCATTGTAGAAATTAAACCCCATAAGAGATTTTGCATTTCTTCCCTGAAATTCCCATGTCCTCAAATTAGGGTCAAAGCCTTTTAACTCCGTCCTGATTTTTGTTTGTTGGCAAGAGCTGGTCTCCAATTAGGTCCTCCTAACTTGGGCATGTCACAGCTACAGAAAACATGGCCTCAGATTGTAGGATAAAAGAACATTTTCCCCAGCTCTACTTGGCATCATAACAATCAAGCCCTTTACAGAAACAATCACATTTCTTATGATGCAAATTTTGCAAAGAGGTGCAGAAACAATATCCAAGATATGTCTGTGTTTAAAGATCTTGCTCATAAATTGCCAATAACTATTTTAGATTTTCACTTTGCTGCTTATGTCCTGATTAAACTGCAAACTGCCTCTTAGGGAAGCCAAAATGCAAGTTTTGAGGCTGATACATCTGGGCTGCAAAAATCCAGATGATCAAAGTTATAGTTCTCTATATTTCTTTGTTGTCATTTATTGTTTGTCTGGATTTTGGCCCCCCGAATTTGTAATCCTAGGCCATCATTACGGGACATGATAAAAAGAACCCTATGCCATGGAAATGTGTAAATAAGTCCATATATAGAATATGCTTCAGTAGATTTCAGTTTCTGATAGTGCTTAACCACATTGAAAAAACAAAACCTTCCCTTATAAACAAATAAGAGCAGTACAAGTATATTAACCTCTTGTTATTAATAAATATGTTGTTTTGCTGTGATACATTTATTGTTATAAAACATGTAACATGTTTTTTTATGAGTGGGAAATTCGACTATTTAAATATATCTGAGTAAATCAATATTATTCAGTAAAATCATTTGTAGTGATAGTGATAGATCAAATAACTTCTTTTGTATTTAACATTGCAACACATCTCTCAATTGCTTTCATAATGAAGGATTGCCTTTGTTAAGCAACATAAAACCCTGAGTGCAGCATAATTTATGCCAGCATAATTTTCTGTTAACCCAAAGATCTGAGAAATACACTTGAACATAGCTGTGAGGAAGTGCCCCAATTAGTTTGTTATGCATATATTTATGAAGAAAATCAGAAAACAAGTATTTCTAGAATTACAATAACACCAACATTTAAATTGGAATAGTTTTTAAACAATGTAAGAGAAATATAGATGTACATCAGAAAAAAGAATATATTTTAGAAGAAGCTTAAATAGTTTAACAAATTAACTTAACAGAATTAACAGAAAAAGAGGCATAATTTTTAAACTTTGCATTCTAAACTAATCTATATAGATAACAATAAGATTTTTTGCAAGCCTCCCTTAAAAGGAAATGAGTTAGGTCTAAATAAGCTTGACTGTTAAACAGCTTAAATTATTCTATAATTCCCCAGAAATGGATCTAACATATTTGAGATCACGGGTGTCAAACTTGCCATGTCACATGATGTGTCGCGCTGTATTGTGACTCTTTTTGCATTGCCAGCAATGGGGTGGGCGCGGCTTTGGCATGATGAAACCGGCCCGCGGGCCGGCAGTTTGACACCCATTTTAGTTCATGTTATTTTCAAATACTGTTTCATGTAATTACCTATTAACAATCAGGAATATATAATTTTTATGTATATTAGACAATCTTTTCATTAACTATCCAATTAACTTCCATGTAACTCAAAGATATATATAATAATCAACTTAGTCATGATTCCTTCCTAATTCTTTATTTTCATCTCCTCACATTTCAACCTTCCCCTTTTTATGAGTACTTCAAAATGGTGACTCTCTTTAGAATGATAACGTCCTTCTCTTCCCGAGAATAACCTTTTCAGGGAGAAATGGACTCTTTGAAAATCTAAGTGTCCAAGCTTGAAAAACTGCTTCCAGGTCTATTGTATTTCCTGCATGGAAGAATACTTTGTATCATGGTCCTCCTGATGCAATTATCAAAGAAGAAGTAGATGAAGGGGTTTGTGCAGCTGTTCGCAAATGCAAATAGACCACCCAGTTCCATGCCCAGATGGGCAATTTTATAATAAAGGCAGAAAGATTGCTGCAGTTCCGAGATGCTCGATATCAAAGACAAGATCTTAAAGATGTTGAAAGGAGTCCATGAGAAAAGAAAAACAACTGCTACTATGAAGACAATTTTGATGGATTTTCTTAGTTTTTTGTCATGTTTCCCAAATTTCTGATAGTGCACATAGAGTTTTTTAATTATGGAATAATGCAATGTTAATATGCTGAACAGTGGTATAAAGAAAGCCAAAATTAGCAATATCAGTGATCCAATCCAATTGTTGGATATGGTTTCCTTGTCCACACAATAGGTATTGTTGCTGTATCTTCTCAGCTCTCTGGACTGTAGAGTAGGCAGCCCTAACAGGCAGGATAGTATCCAAACACAGATGCAAACAAGAATAGGATAAAGCTTTGTTCTAATTTTTCTGGCCATTGAGGGGTACATGATGGTCAAGTACCGGTCCCCACTCATCCAAGTCAGAAGAAAAATACTGCAGTACATGTTGACTGAGATAATGTAGGAACTGCCTTTGCACAGAATAGAGCCAGATCTCCAAAGTCCTGAGGCTAGCTCCTTGTCTATCCAGAAAGGCAATGTGATAAGAAAACTAAAGTCAGAAATTGCCAAGTTGACAATGAAGGTATCAGTAAGCCTCCATACACGTTGTTTGGAGATTAATACTCCTATCAGAAGACCATTGCCCACTATCCCCACAAGAAAAATAACAATATAAAGAACACTCACAAGAATTTCCCTATTGGGCAGCTTCAGAATCTGGCAATTTTCTTCAGGAGCATCTGGGCTAAGATAGTAGAAGTAATCATAGCTGGGAGTTGTTTCCTCCATTGCAAAAACGATTTAGCAGCTGGTTGGTGCAGGAGTAGCTAAACTCTTTATTTTTTGTGCAATAAACAGTTCTGCTCTTTCCTTCAATTTCTTCCAGATAACAATAACTAAGCAGCCACTTAAGTGGGGAAAAAAGAATGTGAGGGCCAGTGGTTTCCTGAACCTAAACATATTTATGTTTTTTGATTTAAAGAACTGTTGTGGTTTTTGGTTGCTTAGTAGAAGCAAAAAAAACAGGTGAACTTCTCAGGGGACCTGTTTTTTTTTTTTTTAAAGTAACGTTTACTTGCCCAATGTTGTTTCTTTCACTTCCACAGCCTTTGTTGACCAAGATACTCACATTTTTGACAAAAACAAACAAGTATGTATCTTTACATTTCACTCTGCCACTAGTATTAATTTCAATTCTACAGTAAGTTCCAATAGAACATTTATCACACAATGTTCGACCAGTAGCACTTTTTTTGCCTTCTGACTTGATTTACATAGACTTGTTATTTTTGCAGTGATTTCAAGGTACTTTAGTTTAACATAGATTTTCTAGAAGAAACTATAATGTTATTTGTTTGTTTGATATTAGGATATAAATTACTGTTGTTTACTTTGTTTTCAAAGTCTCTCCAGGGCTGGTTTAAATGAGTTACAGCATATAAAGGAACATAGGTCCTAAAAATATTCCCTCTCGCTTAAGCAGAATGACAGGTTGAAACAAGCCAGAGGCAAATGAATACAAGCAGCTATGGTGATTAGTTTTCATCTTCTTGTTCCCAAGAAAGTATCTGGTATTTGCTTCAGACTGACAGAATTTTGGGACCAATGTAGACTAATGCAACTCTGTGTTAGCCTTTGGATAGATAGAGTCAATGAGGGATTTATCCACCAGCTAATGCAGCTCTGTGTTAGCCAGTTAACCAATTAGCCAAATGGTAGATAGAACAACAGGACCATTCTTCTAAATTTCTGTTCCTTTCCCTTAGGAATTATAATCTATGGGCCACAAGGAATCAAGCTTTCTCTGTTGCAGCCCCCATTCTAACCCTAACCCTAACCTTATCCCTAACCCCTCACCCTCTTGTGTTTTAGAAAAGCCACTAAGCCTGGAATGTAAAGAAATGTCTAAAAAAAACTCTAGTGTAAGCATCAACCCCACCCTGGGGTGTGTTTCACTGTTTTTGTAATTGATGACCTTAGTTTCTTTCTTAGAAACCCCTGTTTCATTGTTATTTGTTATTTCATTATGCTGTTTTTATACTTTAACTCTCCAGTGTTTTCATTAAAATAACTACAACTGATTTTAAAAGGATTTTCTTTAAGTAAGCATGTTTAGGATTGCTGGCTTTCAAGAATTACATTTAGTGATTAAGTGCTAAGAATAAAAAATGGAAATTCTCATTTCCAGCACTGTTTATTCTTACTATAGCAGAATTATTCTTAATAACAACAGGTAAACATTTGCATAGGAATTCTATCAGTCTAATTTTCAGCAGAAAATTCTGCTACTCATACAGTGAAAACAATACTCTGACATATAGTAGCAAATTCAGAGAAATTTGATAGAAGAGAATATGTACAATATATGTAACCCAGGATTGGAGTCCTTGGTGCTCTGAACTTGATTATTTGCTTCTGTTGTCTACCAAAACAAAACAATACAGGAACAAGTTTTTTTTAATGATCATTTTGATTTAAGATTAAAAGAGAAGTTTAAAAGCACAATAGCAAGCACTCTGGGCTGATTACAATGAAGGGGATATAGCAATAAAAAGGTTTTGCCAGGATTTATGCCATAGTTAGATGCAAGTAATATTTTCCCTCTCCATCTGAAATTACCCTGGGACAGCCTGAAATGTGTAAAATCAAAGTTCTATTACCCATTATTTCGGAGAGGCAGGCAGAAGGCAGGCAGATAGGGATTAGTAGTGGGAATCGCTAATTTCTGCCAGCCCAGGTAATCTTTGTTAGGGGCATTGTTTTGTGTCATGATCATGATGCAAAAACAATAAGTTACATATCTGCATCAGATGTCAGGGTGCAAATATGTAACGGCAAGATTAATGTCTCTTTGCTCGTATCTTTCAGTATACCTAATCTTAGTTTGTTGAGCCATATTGCCAGTATTCTTTTTCTGCCCACTGAAGGATAGTATTTAGCACATCAGTTCATAAGGGAACCACCCTGTGAATGTATGTGCTGGCGCCATCTGACAGCACCAAATGGGTAGGTGGACAACTGAACTGAAAGGTATTCAGTGCACGGAAAACTGCTACAACGTTTGTAAATCTAAGGGGTTAACAATTAATTTTACACTTAACAATGCCCTCATTTCCCTGGGAGAACTTCAACTGCTTTCCGCAATTCTCTTCCTTTCCGTTTGAATCTAACAATCCTGGCAGCCAATATCTGATGCCCGGAATGTATGAATGCACGCATTCATAAGTAAACAAAACCAAGTGTTTGTCCTGGAGCGAACCTAAGCGTGTCACTTTGCCTTCAGAACGTGGCAGCCAACAAGATTCGAACTACACTTCCCAGAGATCTTGGCGGCACAGGGGCGGATAAGCGTCTGCGGAGGCGCTTCCCGCTCTCCTGGCTGAGCTGCTCTTGGGGGTGGGGGGTGGAAACGAAGCCGTGGAGTCGGGAGAACGATGGGAGGTAAGTAGAATTGGGCCCTACCGAGCCCTGATTGTTTCCCTGGTACTCCAAGTGAAGAATTTGTGAATGAAATAGGGGACAATGTAGAAGAGCATGGTTGGGTCCATTGCAGGGGATGTGGTTACCTAAAACGGGACCCTGAAAGAGCTGCAACCTTGTATTTTATTAGGGGTCACTATCGCTAGATAGGAGGAAAACCGGGACCCCACGCTGCTTTCTCTATGGAAGCCGGATAAATCCTGCAGGTTTCTTTCTAGCCATCTCAATCTGGCAATTAGTTTATTTCATCCCCTAGTGTATGCCTTTAGATTTTCTATGCACTAATATTTTAACAGTGCCATCCCCCACATATTTGATGAGAACTTTCACTTCATTACTTTCAGAGATATAGGAATGGGATTGCATGGGGAAAACACAAAACTGAGTATTAAATGGGTTTATAAAGATGCATTCTGGTTGCCATTCTCTTCTGTACTCATCCCCCCCCCAAAAGGCTTGAAAAAAATACCACAGAAATGGACATGAGAATTTGTTTCTCTTACTAAGATATGGGTGGTGATTTCCCACAAATAGCATGTTTAATGAAAAAAAGAGAGACTTTGTGTCCCTTCCCTTTAAAAGTCCCTGCCCTAAGTTGATGATATGATTAAAGAGTTGTCCTTATAGTTCAAAAGCCTTTCAATAACATATGGGCCATCCTAATCAAATTCTTCTATGGGTGAGACCAAATAGCCTGATTCTTTTTGAGCTTTTCACATAATAAGGGAAAAAAATAGGATCTGGTTCTTTTGTTTTGAAAGAAAAAAGTATTCTAAATTGTTCCTATTATATACTTAAATGATATATTTACTAATTATATATTCACTAAGAGTGTTCATGTCTACATGCACACCCTTAATGTGGCAAGAAATGAATATAAATATGAAAGCAAGTTTGATTTGATTGTGATGAAAGATTGAGGAAAGATACAAAGAGAGACTAATGAAAGATAAATGGGCATGAAAGAAAAGGAAGGAAATGAAATAAACAAAAATAAAAGTAGAAAGGTTGCAGGAAAAGAAACGATGTGTCCTATATAAAACAAATAAATTAATCTTCCAACTGAATAAATGGAAAGTGGATATAAAGGAATGTAATGTAGACCTGCTTGGAGAACAGTGAAAATAATACTAAATGCCAGAAGTATGTGTTGATTCATGCCAAATAAAGTATAAAAGAAAGATGAAGAAAAACACAATGGATGCAAAAATGCATAGGAGAATGCTGCAGAAATGAGAAAAGAAAAATACATAGAAGAAAATAATGCAGAAATTATAAAAGAAAGATATTGTATAATGTATAGATAGGAAAAAATATCTGCAAAGAATTAAGATTTAAGAGGGAAAGAAAATACAGATTGAGAGGGGGGAGTGAGTTAAAAAGGCTAAAGTGAATGCAATTAAAAATAGAAGATGAAATGGTTTAGGATGAAAAAATAGGAAGAAATGTTTGCTCCCTTGAGTTATTTATAAAGTAAAAAAGGCGGGATAAAAATCTAATAAAAAAATCAAGGAATGCTGGAAAGGCTATTGAAAATGAAGTAAAACCTGATGTTAGAATGTGGCATAATAGTAAAAGTACAATTGTTGATGGTGTAACTGGAGAAATGTTAAAATATGGAAGTGCTTTACTTAGAGTAACTGTGAGAGTTGTTTAATGTGTATGTCAGGATTGAATCTGTGCTTCATGGTTGTAGGAGTGCTCTTATTCCTCTCTTAAGTTAAAAAGAAAACTGGATGGAGTTAGTTTATTAAGAGTGCCTGGGAAAGTATTTTGCAAAATTCTCATTAAGAAAATGTATTATATTTTGGTTGACTTAGAAAAAGTATATGATAAAGTAAAATAAATTTGCTTTGTGGATTAGTTTCTTTAAATATAGAATTGAGAATTAGTTGCTGAATGTAATAAAAGCAGTATACAGTGCTTCCTTTACTATGGAAGTAAAACATGCATGAGAATAAATGGAATGCTTAACAAATAGCTTACTATTGAACATAGAGTAAGACAGGTTGTAAGAGTAACTCTGGTTGTTTAATGAATTTATGAATAACGTATATGGTTGTGCTCATGTTAAAATTGCATTAGTTGGAGATCTGAATGGACATGCATTTTTTTACATAGATAATATCATGTTGTTGACTAAGAACCCAAAACATTTGCAGTAAATAATACGTGATGATGTGATAATGTGATGCAACAAAGAGTATACATTTGAGAGCAACTACATTAAACATCAAGGAAGTTGTATTTGACAGGGAAAGTGGAATGAACAATTGCAAATTATATATATACAATTCAAAGAAGCTTTTGTGTTTCTTGATAGGCTGGAGAGATTTCAAGATGTACAAATGCTGGTAGAAAGTGTTTGTGTTGTACATATTCTGTTGTGAAGAATTAATGAATGCCTAAAAAAGTTAAAATAGCTTAAGAATGTGCTGCTATTCTTTATTTATATGGAAGAAAGACTTGCTTAAGTCAGGGTAAACTTAAGTTCAGTGAAGGGGATATAGGGTGCTATGTATATGTAGTAAAATGAGAACAGAGAGAGTCAAGAATGAGGGTGCTGAATGAATTTATATTCGATGCAGAGGTTAGTTATTACTATAAAGAAGTGTGTTGCTTGGTCATATTGAGAGAATGACTCAGGACTAAATTTCGGAACAAATATAGGAAACAATAGTAAATGTGTCAGTAAGAAGAGAAGGCTGAGAAAGTTGTGGTGGATGGAGGTGATGATACTGTCAAATATGGATAGGTGAAAAGGTCAAGGGACAAAAACAGTGTAAGAAGCACTATTTGTGCTGCCTGGATGTGATGAAAGCAAGGATAATTTGCAAAGATAGAAAAGTATTGTGTTGGTATAAGTACATTTAGGCACTATTTCCCTTTTCTTTTTCTTAGCTTATGACTTTAACTTCTTTGGGTATTTTTTTCTTACTCTTTTTCTGTGCTGTGCATAATGCTACTTAACCAGAAAAGAAAGAGCACAATGATTGTATGTGTACGAAAAGTGGATTGATTGGAAGTTTGGATTTGGCATCATCATGAGAATGTATTTGTTGATAGCTCTGCTAAATATGGTTTTAGCCCCTTTTTCTCTGAAATCTCAAACCACTGCAATAAAAGGCACCATACAGAATGGGTTCAATTTATGGTAAATGATTGGGGAGGGGCATTTTTTGAACTTAAATTACACAGTTCAAACAGCTGAGGAATAGACTGAAAAGTACTAAAGATACATATTTCAGATGTGCATATCTGGATATCTCAAGGGATTGTTTTTGTATCTGTATTTTTTTGCAAAGCATTTTGCAATGCATTCTTTTTTCACTACGTCTCTAAAGCCTGCTCTCTGTACAGTTCTTTGCTCCCAATTAATATATGAGTCAGTTCTAATTTATCAAGGTACTCTGAGCCAGCCCTCAAACCTGAATAGACCAGCTTGGGGCTCTTCAGGCTTTTCAACTGTATCTATTGCCAATCTGATGGAGAAGGATTTACAGAACTCTCAAATTAAATTTTCATTTCCATTATTGTTGCTTAGCTAACACCTGGAGACTTTCTGGATCATGTATTTTTGTCTTCTGTTTAATGGTGTCTGAGGAGACTGCCTTAGAGACTGCCTAAGTGAGTCTTTCCTTAAAGTTTTTCAGAAATGGTTTGACATTGCCTTTTTCCTAGGGTTGTGAGAAGTGATTGGCCCAAGTTTACCTAGCTGCTTTGGTGCCTAAGGTGGGACTAGAACTCACGATCTCCCAATTTCTAACCTGATACCTTTACCACTACACCAAACTGTTTTTCTTGATCATGTATTAGTAGTACTGTATTTATTCAATTGGTAGTTGAACCATCCCTCCCAGATAATTACTTGAGATTGATGAGAAAAGCAGACATCACAACTACCGCTGCTCTCTTCTTGAATTATAATTTAAACTCTTAAACAGGTCTTCTTTCTCTTTTCTTTATTTCCTTTTTCAATCATTTTTTTCTTCATCTCTATATAGTCTTACATTTCTCTTTCTTCAATTATTAAATACTGTATATGAATTTCAATTTTAGTTATTCATTTAGGGGGATTTTTGTGTCCTACCCTTCCCCTTTTTTGTGTTTTTAGTGACTCTGGGCCAGTCACTCCCTCAGCCCAATCCATCTCACAGGAGTGTTGTTGGGAAAATAGGAAAGAGTATTATATATATATTCACTGCCTTGAGTTACTTATAAAGTAATAAAGGTGGGATAAAAATATAATACATACAAATTAATAAATATTCTACCCCTAGCATGTGTTGTGCTAGATTTGCAGAATTCTTTTTACGTAAAATTATTGCTGAGCAGGGAGAAGACTGTGCCTGTGGAGGGAAATATGAGCACTGTTTATTAGAATACTACCTGCTATACCTTGTTGCCTCTTCTGCTGCAGTGTTCTCCTTTTGATGTTTGAATAACTGTCTTTTTATTATAATTTCATGTAATGTAAAATGTGAACGTTATCTTGAAGATCATCTAAAAGAGGAAACTGGAAAGATCTGAATATTTTGCTAGCATTCATGCATTAATGTTCCTTTGTTGATGCCAATTTTTCTTTTTTCCCCTTTTGTTGACAGTAACTGAGATACCATGATGGATAACCGTTTTGCTACTGCTCTGGTAATTGCCTGTGTGCTCAGTCTTATCTCTACCATCTATTTGGCAGCCTCAATTGGCACAGATTTTTGGTTTGAGTACCGTAACCCATCACCTCCCGAAAATAACAGTGAAAGTAAAGCCACTTGGGATGAACTTTTTGGTGAAAATGCAGATGAAAACTCTTACACTGAAGCACTCTTTCGATGGAATGGCACCATTGGGCTGTGGCGGAGATGTATCACGATGTCTGAAAACTCTCATTGGTATAATTCACCAGGTAAGTTTGCACTAAAGAGGTTCTGTAATGTATCTTTCTCTGTGCTATAATGTATTTCTTTACTTCTTCTATGTGTATTACTACTTTTAAAAAAATGGGTATGATCTCATTTCCTGCTCAACATTTCATCTCATGTACAAATTTTTAGGGGAAAAAGTTTAATACATGCAATTGGCAACTGTTATTTTTCCCCCTAACATTGAAAGACAGAAAAAAACAAAGAAGAAAAAAGAGGTATAGATTTAGGATTTTACAAAATATTACAGTTAATCCTCAACTTATGACCATTTGTTTAATAATGGCCCTAAATTACAGTGGCCTCAGATAGGGCTCTATAGCCTTTAAAGTATTTCCAGCCATTGCAGAACTTTGCACCACTGCCCCGAGGTCATGTGATAGTGTGAGTGCTTGGCAACCTGTTCATACTTACAACCCCACAATTCTGTGATTGCCATTTGTAATCTTCTCTGCCGACTTCCTGAGAAAGCCAATGGGGAAGCAGAGCTAAATAATATTCTTAATTATTTAGAAAATGGTGATCTATGCCAAAGTGAACTGCATAAGTTAGAACAAAAACCTGACTTGAAATTTTAAAAATAGAACGAGAATATAATTAAACTGATTTAACAAAAAGATTTGAAAGTTAAATTGGATTCATTGAAAGCTTATATTAAACAACACTTATTACAAAATGTATAGACCAGCAAAAGGCAAACAAATTAAACAAATGAGTCAAAACCTTACATTTATTCACTGATTTGTTGAGGAAAGTGATCTAAAGTTACATATTTTTGTGGGCCAAATGTATGTGAACCTCTAGGACAGGGGTGTCAAACTGCTGGCCCGTGGGCCGGATGTGTCACGGTGAAACCTCGCTCACCCCATTGCTGGCAATGGAAAAAAAGTCGTGATACGTCACGTCACATCACATGATGTGATGTTGCAAATTTGACACCCCTGCTCTAGAATTATTAGTTCATTTGAAGGGGAAATTAGAATCAGGTGTTTCAATCAATAGGATAATAATCAGATGTGAGTGTTGGAGATCCTGCTTTATTTAAGGAAGGAATTCTGGATATTTCGTGTCAAAGTCTGGATATTCACAACACAGGTATATGGAAGTGTGTCATGGCTTGAATAAATAAGATTTCTGGTGGCCTCCAAAAACGGTTGTTGATGCTCGCCAGGCTGGAAAATGGTGATTGAAAATCTAGACTAGAGTGACTGATCAGGAACAGAGAGGAAAAGGAAAGGAAAAAGTATTCTTAGAAGCCAGATTCTATTTAAATAATAGGTTAGGGGAAGAAAAAGAAGGAAGGCAGATGGATATACAGTTCCACTAAACAGGTTATTTGTTTATTTGTTTGTTTATATCCCGTCTTTATTATTTTATAAATAAGGCAGGGAACATAGCTTACACACATAGCCTCCTATTTTCCCCACAATAACCTTGTGAGGTGGGTTGGGCTAAGCAAGAGTGGCTGGCCCAGAATCACCCACCTATCTTTCCAGCCTTGTGCCTTAACCATTAAACCAAACTGGCTCTCTCAAGAGAGATCAAATTGGATCTCAAGAACTGATATTAAAGCTGCTAGAAGTTAATGGAAGATAGAGAATGAATATACAGGATTCCTATCAACAGCTGTTCACCAATGCTTTTTTATTGAGTTCATTCAAAATACTACTTGAATTCTTGAAGGGACATCTTCTCTGAAGGTGGGAATTTGGACCAGTTCAAACGATGGACATTGTTATATTGCTTCTTTGTCTGAGCTGCAGTCAGCTAATTAGCTGGATTCTGTTGGCTTTTCCAAGCTACGAAATCTAATTCGGGAAGGGAGCCAGAAAGGGAAATTTTATGATGGCAAGTGCTGTTAGAAGGGCCTTTGATAATATGTGGTCTTTCGTGAATAACATCAAAAGCAGCAAACATGACTTTGGATAAGGGCATGCTACTGTCTACTTTGTTATATGTGGAAGTCAAAGCAGAAGAAATATAAAAAGTTGAATTCACTGGAACACTTAGATGTATGGGGCAAAATAAGTAGAATGAAGAATGAATGGGTGTTTAATAAATATAGAGTTAGTGCAAAATTGAATGAAGTATGAAAAACATATTTTGAAATGGTTTGATTATATAATAGAATGAATGAGGACTGAATCATAAGACTTATATTAGAAGAGGGAATGGGTTCAAAGGAAGGAGAAGACTGAAAAAATGTGGTTTGATGGAATTGAGGACATCCTCAAAAACTGTAGGGCCAGATGTTTAAAGAACAAAAAATCATTTATGAATTAACTGACCTTGTGAAAGCAAGATTGGTTTTCACAATAGAAATATTTGAAGAGATATAGTAGATAGTCTTGATATAAATTATTTTTAGCTATATACTTTTTTCTTGTCTTGTGTGGCTTAATATTTTTCACTCCTTTTCTGTATTTTGTATAATAGAAATATTTACATTAGGGAATAATGTGATAGATAAATGTTGCATTTATTATTTTTTTAATACAAATTAGCTTTTCAACAATGCTTATTCCATCTTTCATAATAGAAACATTGGCATTTGAGAAAAAAGTTATGTTTGCGTAGCAAGCAGAGATAAAAGGGAAAGAGTATTCTGTATAAGGATTGCTATATGGTAATCCTATGTTTTCTTCAATACCTAATTTATTAAAAAGATTTTTCCTCCTGAATATGCTTAAAATTGTGCAGCATTGGGATTTCAGAGATAAGATAATCTCAGGACATTTAGGGAATTTTCTGATAGTTATGGGGAATTCATTGCAAATTCACTTTTTTAATTGTTAGTTTCATACCTTGCCTTTTGTTAAGGGGATGATGATGATGATGTATGTAGCACTTCTTCCTTCTATTTTTCTCCACAACAACCACACTTTGAAATAGGTTGAGTTGTGAGAAAGGGAATGACCCAAAGATAACCAATGACTTTCTATGGCACAAGGTCTCCTGGGTTCCAATCCAGCTTCTTAACTACTATGCCAAACAGGCTCTCATTGAATCATGATCTGATTATTTTATTTCCTGTAAAAATGGATGATACTGATAATATCATTAGTAGGTAAACCAATTTGTTTAATTAATCATAGAGTCTTGAAATTATCTTATTGCAGTGTGCTAGAATAATCAGCATCCCCAATTAGGCTTTCAGATTGTCCAATATTGTATACTTTTTATTGAGGTAAATTTTCTTCATGTTCTTTGACAAGGGGGAATTAGTTATTTTTGTTACATATGCAAATGATTTTTAATACAAAATTTCTCGTGGCTAAATCATTGTAAGAAACTTAATTCATTGGTGCAGCCAGTAAGTAACCAAGATTTCATCTGTATCTTCTTGTTCATAGTCTAGAAAGGAAAGACAAAACTTTTTTACTTTTTCAGCTATCAGTGAATTAAAAATTCTCTTTGCATCTGTGGAAGTAGCTACTGTTATTAAAAGCTGGATTATTACTCCATTAGTCTCTGAAGCCAAATGATTAAATTTCTCCTACCAGCTCACTAGTATAGCTTACTTTAAAACCTGATCAAGGTCACCCTTAATCCTGAAATTCATTAAAGTGTGTTGTTACAGAAGATGATTGCAGAGTATCCATATCATAGTCAACTTCTCTTCTCAGTAGTTAAGGATTGGTTCTGGAGGAAGAATTGAAAGTATTGGCAAGAAGATGATCTTGTTTGTTTTTGATGCCCATAATTTAACTCTGTAATTACATTTCTTTTTTCAAGGTTTCAGTCAGTTCCTTCCAAACCTCAACACCACCAGCAGTAAAACAGGTATTTTTCAGTAATTTGTTCAAATCAATGGAAACAAACTTTAGGATAGTCTACATAAATTCATCATTTCTTTGTAGTCCTGTGGTAAGAAACTTATCTATGACAGTTCTGTTTCTTAATTATTTCAGATTAGGCCAATTCTTGATACAGTGCTAAAAACAATCCATGGAGTTCCATCTAGCATCTTAACAAATAAGTTGGTTCCTCCTGCTTTCGTCTCATTATTGCAGAATTGTTTTGGAGAGTCACAAAATTAGTCTTTATTTCTGGGCACTGAAATCTTTTTTAACATCAAATAAGCATTATAGCCATATCTTTTTAGTTTTAAGCTTTCTTCTCTTTCTTACCTTCTTTCATAGATACATTTTCACATACATGATGTGACTAGAACTCTCTTATTAGTTAATGATAAGACATTCTACACGGTACAAGTGGACAGAATCAAAGTCTTGTATTTTGGGAATAGATCTTCCAAAATAAAGAGATTAACGTATTTAATTAAGTTCATGCTGTTAATTTAGTATTACTCAAAGTGTGCACCAATACAAGCTGTAAAAGAGATAGAAGTCTGATAAGCCAACAAAAAGCTGTGTCCAGGTTAGACAAAAGTGGTGGAAATGAAAAAGTTAGTCAAATGACCTTTAACTAATTTGAAGATCCTGTATATTCAGGCAAGTATCTTCAAAGAAGAAAAAGTTCTCATGATGCTGTTTTGTTTAGACAATCAACTCTTGAATTCTTCGTAAAAATATTTTTCCTTCACATGCATGGCTTGTGACAAATATTCCAAAGTAGAATCTTGTATATTGTTGTTGCCATAATAGATTCCCTCTTTTAATCCTTCATGCTAGATAGGTTTATTCAACATAATAAATGTATTTTTGGGGACAGTACATTTGTCTGATTCTTGTTTCATTTCTTCTGCATTTCATATTCTTCCTTACGTATTTCTACTTTACCTGTCTACCGTTCTTTCACTTTTGCAACTTTTAAAACAAGAAAGCTGATGGCTTGATTGACTGTTATCTCCATTTGTACCTCCTGTCCAGCTGATTAGGAGCCTCCCTTCCACATACTGTTATAAAATATATTCATAGAATATAATGCAGACGTTAAGATAATTGTTTCGGATATATTGGAACTAGGTTCATTTTCTGAAAAGTATTTTAAGAAAATTCTAAATTCTTATTTTAAAAATCATGTGTTTAAAATTGATTTTCTTTTTTTGTTGTTATTTAAATCCAGTTTCTGAATAAATATGCATGGCAATGTGTTGTAAGGGAAAACAAAATCTTGGGATGCCAAATGAAAATCCAGGAGTTTACAAGCAAAGTTATGTCTACTTTCAGAAAAACAAATTTTGCATGGCACTAAAACTAATCAAAGAGATAATATTTTGAAAGCCATCAAATATGTTTTCTATTTTTAAAGCGATGACACCTAAAGCTAAATTACATTTAAATCACCGATTAATTTTAGGAATCCTTTCTGGCTTGGGGAACACAAAAAGGGATGTTCAGATTTATATCAATTAATTGAAATAAATGAATTTAGAACAGTTTTTAATCATCTGGCTTGTGTAAACACTTGTATCTTAAAATTCCAGAACGGTTTTTTTTATTTCCTTGATTAGCATAATCAAAAATCTTGCAACACTCTAAAGCAGGAGTTAAATACATTTGTAGCTCTAGGGCCATGTAAGACTTTTAATTCATTTCGAATGGCTTCTGGTGTGACTTCAAAACTTGTTTCAAGTGAACAATTCAGATCCTTTGTAAGATTCATCTACCCCTGGCAATTTCCTGGGTTGGGGGAAACAAAAGGATGTTAGAAAAAGAATAAAAATCAAATGGACACAGAATGAAAAGAGGATATGAAAAACAGAGAATGAGTGGCTCTGGCCCAACCAGTTTTCTTCAGCATTGCTCACCAATTGGCATCTGTCCTGAACGTATTACTTTTGAAGGATTGTAGGCCTCAACATTAAAATATTGCCTATCTCTTCCATAAAAGCTCTTTCAAACTAATCTCTTCATCCTTATGCCGACTCGAGATCATTTAAAGTAGGAACAAAGGACCGTAGCTATTTATTAATAAATATGTACCTTATAAAAGGCAGATGATCAAACAAAAATCACAGCCTAATAAAAATATCTATTTCATTCTGAAAGGTGAGATGGTCACAAAGTGTGTCAGCTTTTCTCTTTCGGATCAATTCATGGAAAAATACACAGATCCTGGGAATCATAATAGTGGCATTGATCTGAACCGAACCTGTGAGTATTTTTGGTTTATTTATTGGAAACAAATAGCGTAAATGTTTTTTCTCTCGCAAAGGTAAATGGCAAAGTAGGCTTCCACCAATGAATATATGTAGAATTGCATAGTCTGATATTTTCTAAAATGGGCAAAATGTAGGAAGATTACTAAATCTCATAATCTCTTAGCAATCTCACTTTTACGGTTTTAGTCACATGAGAATGATAGACTAAAGATAGAAATGACTAAAATCCCATAAGATTTTAATATCTTTTTCTAAAAGATCTAGGCTTATTTTTACATTTCAGAAAAAAAATTAATTTGAATTCCTTTTATGATATCTGAAGAGGTTGTAGGTGTTATGAGATACATAGTAGTTTTATAATTAGGGGTTAAGAATTTCAAAAATGTCATTTTATTTAGTATTTTAGTGCAAAGTAAGGCTAGAGTTTTGAAACTCTTGTCAAGAAAATGACACTTTGTACTAGCAATTCTGATAAGAGCAAGCAGAAAGAGCACCTTACAACGGTAGCTTGCTGGTCTAGCTTCCCTGTCCTTTCTGAAAGAGATGGGTGAAACGGTATTGCTGCTTCAAATAACTCTGTGAGTGCTTCAGGGTTTAAGATGTAGGGTGGGAACCAGTGTTGGGATTCAAATATGTGAACAACCGGTTCTCTGTGTGGATGCCGCTTCCGGAAGTCCATTCTGGGCCTGGGCAACAAAAAATTAGCTACCGGTTCTGCCGAAGTGGTGCGAACTGGCTGAATCCCACCACTGGTGGGAACATAGACTTCACATGAGGCTGAATGGGCAGGAAGGATAGCTTGGAAGGCCAGAAATCTTATATCGCTGTCTTATATCAAATAGTGGCATAGCCTAATGATTTTCATTTGTCCATATATATTTTTTAGATCTCTGGCGCTTGCAGTTTCTCCTGCCTTTTGTCAGTTTAGGACTCATGTGTTTTGGAGCACTTATTGGAGTCTGTGCTTGTGCGTGCCACAGTCTCTATCCTGCCATTGCCACTGGAGTTCTCCACTTCCTAGCTGGTGAGTCATCTTGAGGAACACCATCTGCTTGACACAAGGATGCCTTAATAATACAAGGCAAGTATTTCTTGCTCTGATCTAACTGTTGTTTGCCGATTTTTCACCAGGTTTGTGCACACTGGGTTCAGTTGGCTGCTATGTAGCTGGAATTGAGCTGCTCCATAAGAAACTACCTCCTCCTCCAGTGCAAGGCCAATTTGGCTGGTCCTTCTGTCTGGCTTGTGTGTCAGCACCTCTGCAGTTCATGGCCGCTGCCCTTTTCATCTGGGCTGCACGCACAAACAGGAAAGAATTCACACTTTTGAAAGCATACCGAGTGGCATAATAAGATCCTCATTTTTCCTCAAGTCTCTTATTTTCATACTTTTAAAAATCTCCTTGCTGTTTTTATTAGTTATTTATCTGTTTCAGAGGATGCATGCTTCTAATTACATTTATTTAAATGGCTTGGAATTGAAGAGACTTAGAGACCAGATTATGAGGAATTGCTTTTTCTTGCCAGAGATCTATAAGATTTCAACACATTTTTTAAATACATCTGACATACTTATATTTTCACATCTAAACTTCATCTGCAAAGCAAACATAGGATCCTTAAGGGGATGAAAGGTCTTGATGAAATTAAAATGGATAGAATGTGTATCGGATAAGCCAGGACCACTTTTTTCAAAGTGGTAAATATGCAGTCTCCTTGAAGGTTGTGATATAATTTTGTTCCCATCTTCAGATCTATTACTGTGTCTTTTTCAATCTATTCGGTCCAGATTGTTATAAAATGGTTGACAACTGTGGAATTTTTAAATCTTGTGAAATAGTTATCAAGATTGTGTGTGCATTTCTCTCTCTCTCTTGTAATAGAAGCATCCATAACAAGTTTTACTTTCTAATTTGACAAATATATCTGTATATAAATCTGACTTTTTAAATATTTTATTTATGCAATACTACATTTTGTAGAATTATTATTCATGTCATCTAAATGAACAATATTGTTTTAAGAAAATAAACCTGAGTTAAGACTCATTAATTTTACTGGAGTTGTATGTGACTGATAATAGAAGAAAATACATGTGATATAACATTTCATTTTAATGCACTTAACTAAATTCTTGACATCCATCCTCTTCTTTTCAAATCACAAGATATATAAAGGGGAAAAATGAAGAGTGCATTGATTTCGCTTCAAATTATAAAACCAAATTAAGAAGAAAAGATACATATTCAGTAAGAAAATTTATACAATGCTTCCAACTTGACATTATCAATATTTGTACCAGAATCCTTACAAATAAATAGCTACATTTAGGCTGTATCGTGCAAAGACTGTGTCCAGCCTTGCAGCTTCAAATTAAAATACCTTTTTGTTCTTTTATGCAGAGGGCATAAAACATGTATGTGTGTGCAATAAAGCTTTTTTAAAAAATACAGTGTGGGAGAAGGAAGATGTGAAATTATTCATTCTCACTGAAGAATTCAAAAATGTTAGACAGAATAACAAAGTTGAAAGGGACCTTTGGAGGTCTTCTAGTCCAACCTCCTGCTCAGGCAGGAAACTCTATACCATATCAAACAAATGGTTATCCAATCTCTTCTTAAAAAGTTCCACTGTTGGAGCATTCACAACTTCTGGAGGCAGGTTCTTCCACTGATTAATTGTTCTGTCAGGAAATTTCTCCTTAGTTCTAGGTTGCTTCTCCTTGATTCAAATACATTTTTAATACAGTAGTTAGTTTTGCATGTATTCTGAGAGCAAAGAGAATGCTGTTGAAAGTTTTTACTCTGGAAAATTTTTGATATATATTGCAGAGAAGTGTCTGATTCTCATAATAAATGAATGGCAACTCCGTTTAGCTGTTTAGAAAAAAAGCAAGATTATTGGGAAAAAATTGAGTTTGAATTGAATTTACAGCAAAAAGCATTATATTAGCCTCTTTTTATTAGTTGAAACCTACTGTGTGTTTTTTAATTGTCAAAGGTTCATCCTACTTTACTTCAAAATGGATAAGATTAATAGTTTGCATACTTTAAACTCCTCTAGCCTGAGGCACAAAACTTATATGTTCTAAACATGAGAGTGTGTGTTGAGTAAATATTGCTTTGCTGTGTTCTAGAACAGGTTTCCATTCATTTGAATATAGTGAATTTAGGCAGAACAGGAATGGGCAGTTTATTTTATTTTTTTTTTAAAAAAGACATCTCAAAATACCATAAGATATTGTAAATCCTTTGATTTTAAATATATATTTTCTATGCAAATTGAGATATATTTTTCCTCTAAACCAGTGGTTCTTAACCTGGGCGGTACCGCCCCCCAGGGGGCGATTTCATTTTTCAGGGGGGCGATGGAATGAAAAGGGGCGGCGTGGGGGCGATGGAATGAAAAGGGGGCGATAGGGGGCGATGGAGCAAGATGTTTTGGGGACATCTTTGAGCCTTCCCCTGCAGCTCCGAGCGTCCTCCGCCATTTGTAGA